TTTTGGGGTGCATTCTGGTCTGATGGTGCTCCACCTTTAAACCCCGTGTGCTGAATACTGTCGCCCTGCTTAACCTGTCTAAGATATCTTCGAATCTTAGTATTGGGTATTTTTCGTCCAGCATTCTCTCATGAAACTTTCTATAGTCGACCATGACCTTGTACCATTCCTAACTTTCATCCTCCGCACTGCTTTTCTTTACTGTCTGTAAGAGACTACTACATGGCAATGAGCTATCGATTATAATACCTTGCTTTTTCATACTTTTCAGCCTCCGCAGTGCTTGAGGGTATATTTTTCCTTTCACATACGTTATCCTATCCTCCTTTGGTGGAGTATCGTTCATCGTCTTCCCTATTACCCCCAATATGTCACCTTTGTTACAAAAAAAAACATATGCCTGTTCTTTTTTAACTCCTGTCTCCGTTCCTCGGACCGATTAATCGTCTCTATTCGCGTTTCGTCTTCTTTAAATTGTTTCTGACTTCTGTATTTCTTTCCGCCTATTTGGATAATCAATCCATTGTCCACCGCTATATCATAGCTTAACCCATGATTTCTGTAACAGGTCGCAACCAATTATTCTACTCAATCCTATCGCTACCTTTCCTTATTCTTTACATGAACCACTCAGATGGTGATCTGTTATCTTTTACAAACTCTTTGAGCCTCATCTTATGCGGTTATGGTCTCCATCATCCTCTCCGAAAGTCTTATTCAACCTATCTTTACATCGGTCCAAGGCGTATCTTCGTCTGCTTATATCAGGTTTGATACGCTATGTTTGACCGGACATACTAATGCCGCTTTCAACGCCTCTGCGTTATCTGAATCTATCAAATTTTCCGATTTCTTGGCTTCTATCCATGTCATTATCCTGTCATCTGGTCAGAGTTTGCGAAGGTAACGGCGGAATATCCAGCACAGGTACTTTTTTTTGAGGGGGGAGGAGGTCCTCGCCTTTAAGGCTATACAGAGTTTTCCAGAGCCAGGGAGTGTGGGCGGAGATTTAAAAGACTCCTCCGGCACCGAGACGCGAACATGTGATTATCTTTTTTGTCTCATATATTAGATTGCCGGGCAACGGTGCTGTGTACATACATTAGCCCGTTAGGCCATCCCGCCCTCAATCCAGCAGGGGTACATGTAAAACTTCTTTCACGATGCTTTGGCAGGATCCCGGGTTTCGGCACCACTTATATTCACGTTGAAGATTAGAAAAAGAAAAAAAAAAGAGAGAGAGGTGAAATCACACACAAAACTATCGTATAAACACTGATTTATTCTTCTCTTTACTCTTCAATATATATCCATCTGACAGCTAATTTAGTCTAAGAGTTGATACTAAGCCCAATAGCTGTTACTATGGTCCTTAATTTATATATATACACATATATCTTGGACTATATAAAAATTTTCTGCATAGTAATATGATAGAAAAGAAAGACCAAAAAACAAAAACTGCATCAAATCCATTAAAAAAATAATAATATAAAAATGTTTTATTAAAACTCAATTTCAATTCTATATAATAGGACTTTCGATCAATATTTTAATTCAATTGTACATCTAAAAGTAATTATAAAAAAATATAAGAAAAGAAATATAAAATTTATAATTTTAAATGTTGCATTTCATTTTAATGTATTATTTCAAATAAACGTTAATTTGAAATGTATTATTTTAGTTATGTAGATTAATTAAACTTGTTAAAAAGTAGATAAGTTTGAAATAACCATTCCGATAATAAAAACACGAATTTTAAAATTATGATATCTTAGCTTGTCCGCAATTGGCCGAGAGGAACCTCATTGTAAATAGATTTCAACTTTTTTCTCACTGAAATATAAGGTGTTTTATCTTTATTATATTATTTTTTCTAGTTTTGGTTGTGTTATATAACATTTTGCTATAATTAATCATGGAATTCAATCACAATTAACATTTATTGGGTTGTGAATTCTGGAGTAACGGTATTGATAATTTGGAACAGCTCGTTCGGAGATTGGAACGGATTGGAATAGGTACACTAAAAATCTGTTATGAAACATCCCTAACACCAGGTGTCACGGTCACTAGCGGATCCAGCCGGAAGGCACGGGGGCCGAGCGGCCTCCCCCCTGGAGGCTAGAAAAAATCCAAAAAAAAGTTCTAAGAAACAGCTATTTAAAGAAAAGAGAAATATAGGAAAAATTCATCCTCATAGACGAAAATAAAAAAAAAATTTATTATTCTACTAACACTAGCGAATTCTGCCAAGTGGCTCGCCCTCCCTCAGATGGTGAAAAAGTCCGACAAAAACACCTATTTAAAGAAAAGAGAAATACAGAACAAAATTATCCTCATTCACGAATTTCCTAATGTAAAATAAAAAATATATATTATCATGACCTGCATTAGCGAATTCTGCCAGGGGGCGAGTCCTCCCTTGGATTGCGGAAAAAATCCCGAAAAAAAAACAGCTATTGAAAAAATAGAGAAATGTAGGGAAAATTCATCCTCATACACTAATTTCCTAATGAAATAAAAAAAAAATATTATCGTGACTAGCACTTGCGAATTCTGCCAGGGGACGCGCCTTCCCATGGATGGTGAAAAAATTTAAAAAAAAAAAACCTATTTAAAGTAAAGAAAAATATAGTGAAAATTCATCCTCATAGAATTTTCTAATGTAATATAAAAAAAAGTTATTATCGTGACCAGCACTAGGGATTTCTGCAGTGGTCACGTCCCCTTCTGGATATTAGAAAAAAAAGTTCCACAAAAACCCCCATTTAAAGAAAAGAGTGAAATAGTTTTTGGACTGCCGTGAGATCAGAATGCTTGTGCTCCTTTCGCAGTTTGTTCCTATTGACTCCGAGCTGAGTTTCGTAGGTGAAATACATGAGGGAGAAAAATTTATTTTTAAAAAAATTAATTTAATTTATTCTTTTAAACCACCTTTTATTCGAGCACAAGAAAATACGGGTTTTCTTTCGGACCCAGTTTTTACTCAGTTTCTATAGATCTAGATGCATTGCAACCTTCAGCAACTATAGTTCTCTTGAAGAATCCATACGATTCATAAAACTGGTCAAGATAATAATTAGTATATTTTTCAATAGAAAGTGTTGTTCTTTTATTAAAATAGCTGCTGTTGGGGAACGTTTTCATGAAGAAATGTACAAATTATTTGGTTCCCGATTGATCGGAATCCGATTATGCTCGGAATCGGAAATTATTCTGAATTTTTTCTTTCTTAAAGAACTCATTTCCAAGCTGTAGGTCCATTTACAGTAATCTTTCTCAGGTTTTGACATGTTCACTCAGATTGATCGAATATTGGTAAAAATTAGCTTTCATTGAGTGATTATAGACCGTATCGGTTAATCAAATTATTAAGTTTAGGTACTCGTTCAACGCAGAATTTGACGTTTTTTAATTTCTTAAAGACTACGTTTTTCGCTTTGATGCACCGTTTAGTAGTAATACATGAAAAAAAATAAGATAAATCTGGATTTTTTGGTAGTAAAAAGTTTTCTCTTGGTGACTCGTGTTAGCACTTTAGTTTTTTACATGTCTTAACCCATGTGGGAGTTAAGAGTCTACTTAAGAGACCCATGGGTGTCTCTTAAGTAGAGGAAAATATTTAAAGGATTGATAGCAAAATTCAATAAATACAAAAAAGTTTATATAAATAATGGTTCGATTTTTAGGAGGAAAGTAGTGAATTCATGTTTTGTGATTTTTTATGTAAGCCACGTTTTTTGTTTAATAGGAAGTGATAACAAAAAACTATTTAATTTAAGTAATTAATGATAGTTTCACTTTAAACTAGACAAAATTTACTTTGAATAAAAATAGAGTTTGCTTTCGTTAAAACCATATAAAGAGGACTGGTGATTTGACTGATGACTCAAATCACATCTGGCTTATTCGTCAGGTCATACAATTCCTGATTAGTGCGGCTTCGCTACTCATTAAATCGGAGCCCGACATAGTTTTACATGTTTATTGGGCACGTCTTATTGCTCCATCTTGTATAGATACTCTCTATTGATTCTTTCTTATGAATTTTTAAAATTAATAAACAAGTATAGCTTTCCTTTCTTATTCAAGTATTCGCCGCAATGTGAAAACAGATATTATAAATTCAGTCCAGGAATATGGTCGAAATCGAAGTTCTTTAGCGACAAGTTTTACTAGTTCGATTCTTATCATTGTGCTTCTCAGAGTCTCTAAAACACTACAATCATTGTAGTTAGAAAAATTATGAGTCAAAATACGATACAGCGGTGGACAATGGATTATCCGAATAAGCAGAATGAAATACCGATGTCAGAAACACTTTAACGAATAAAGGCGATTAATCGGTCCGAGGAACGGAGGCAGGAGTTAAAGAAAGAACAGGCACATATTTTTTTGTAAAAAAGGTGACATATTGGGGATAACAGGGAAGATGGTGCACGATACTCCACTAAAGCAGGATAGAATAACGTATGTGAAAGGAAGAATATACCCACAAGCGCTGCGGAGGTTGGAAAGTATGAAAAAGCAAGGTATTATAATCGATAGCACATGGCCATTTAATAGTCCCTTATGATCAGTTAAGAAAAGGAAAGCGGAGAACGAAAGTTAGGAAGGGTATAAGGTCGTGGTCGACTATAGAAAGTTTAATGAGAGAATGGTGGAAGAAAAATACCCAATACTAAGATTCGAAGATATCTTAAACAGGTTAAAAACAGGTTTCAGCCAATTTGATTATTGGCAATGTAATTGTTACTATGTACCCTTTACAATGTCAATATATTGGCTAAATTCGATATCCAATCAATAATAATAATCGTGTAAGGGTCCTTGTTAATGGACAAATTCATAAATAATAATTTCAACATACAGAAATATATTACTTTAAGTATCAACATTTAATCTATAACAAAACAAGTATTGAATAAATATTTCTTTATTATTATTAGCTCTTTACTGACACGTCATGATAAGCATTGATATCCTTTCTTAAAGATAACCTGAGATCTCCATGTCAAACTTGGTGGTCTGAGGTTGAATTAGACTAGATTCTTTGAGTATTTTATGATTATTAAGTTGTGTATTATATACAGTTAAGTAAAATGACTGCTGTAGATTGGGAAGAAGTTAAACGCTTGGCAGCTGATTTTCAGCGAGCCCAATTGACTTCAACATCTCAAGTGTACTATAAATTTTTTATTTTTCTATTTTATTATTTACTTTTCAGCCATTTATACTTTAATTACTTAATTTCAGCCTTTCTGAACGAAATTGTGTTGAAATAATCACCAAGTTGATTGAGTCAAACCTCTTAGAAGTAATATTTACTACAGATGGTAGGGAATATATTACACCTCAATATCTCTTGAAAGAAATTAAAGATGAGTTGTATGTTAGTAGAGGTAATATAATATTTGTATACCCTTGATGTCAAATGATGTCCGATCATGTATTATATTATTTTCGTTTCATTATTAGGAAGGATAAATTTGGTCGAACTTGCTAAAACATTAAATGTAGATCTAAGTCACATAACAGCTCGAATACCAGAAATAGAAAAATCATCAGGATGTTCCATTATAATGGGACAGTTAATTAACAAAAACTATCAGAGGACTATTGCTGAGGAAATAAATGAAAGGTTACAAAGAGATGGTCAAATAACAACAGCTGATCTTACTAAATTATATGATCTTCCAGGAGATTTTTTGCAGTCTGTAAGTGTTCTATATTTTGTTTTTCTATCTTTCTGAAACTTTTTTAGTTTCTTATGACCCTACTATTTATTATTAGTATATAGTAAACATTTATCTATTTAATGTTTATAACAGAGGGATTTGTAGCAGGTGACTGGTCATGGGTCTTTGACCTCCCACAGTTCTAATGTAACCTTATAGTTTTATTAGTTGTTAGAGATCCTTGTTCATTATTTATATTAAAAATAAATGTAAGTGACTCTCTTTGGAGCTTATCTATCTCTCATGTGATTATAAGCTAGTAGCAATGATTGTTGTAAAGTACCTTAAATTTCAACCTTGATTTTGGTTTTGGTATTAGCTTGGAGTTGTCATTTTTATTGGGAGCCGGGTATCTCAGTAAGTAAGGCATTGTGCTCAGGTGTTCCAAACCCTGTTATTGTAGTATAAGACTGTAACCTCTATTTATATTCAATTATAATATAATCGATTACATATGTTAATTAGATAAAGATAAGACAGATGGTATATTTTGTAATAAATAATAAAGCACACCTACGTTTGTTCTAAAAGTATTTTTATTAATTGATCATACATAGTACATGGTGTTATATGATACATGGTGTACATGGTGGTTACTAATTAAAAATTAATAATTCGAATTTGCGGCTACAATCTCTTCAATTTGACAAGAACATTGCAACGAAGTGGCCAAAATGGAAACAGGTTTATAAATAAACCTATGACAATGGTCTGATTCACAGAAGCAAGCTTTCTCTATTGTAAAATCTTTAGTTTGTAATGCGCCCACTCTCAAACTGTTTGATCCATCTCTTAAAATCGAGATCCAATGTGATGCCAGCAAGGATGGGCTTGGAAGCTGTTTACTCCAAAACGGGCAACCAGTCGTATTTGCATCAAGAAGTCTTTATAACTCAGAAAAGAATTACAGTCAGATAGAGAATGAGATGCTTAGCTTATGCTTCTCGGTCAATAGATTTCACCACTTTATTTACGGTCATAATAATGTTGAGATTTTCACGGATCATACACTATTGTTAGCAGTGCTCAATAAGGAGCTGTATAAAAATTCTTCAAGACTCCAAAGAATGCAACTGAAGCTATTAAAATATAAATTTTTATTATCCTATATACCAAGCTCCAAAATGTATATAGCGGACATGCTATCAAGAGCCTTTCTTGAAGAAGAGGGACCGGAAGACGTAGACTTTTCTCAGGTGGTGCCATCAGAGCATATAAAAATCTTGTAAGAAGCCTCCAGAGATGATTTCAGTGAACTTAGAAATTATATCAGGAATGCTTGGGAAGGAGTTCATAAAAAGTGTTTGGAACGTGAAATAAAGAATTTTTATGGGCTCCGAGACAAACTTTCAGAAAATAAAGGAATTTTATTTTATAATGATAGAATTATTATACCACCGAATCTCTGACGTCACTTCGTAAGCCAAATTCATTCTAAAGCTCATCTTGGAATAAACAAAACTGTTTCCCGTATCAAGAGCCTTATGTATTGGCCAAACATGTCCCAATACATTACAAACTTCAAAAATTTATGTTTCACGTGTCAAACCTTCCAAAACAATAAACCTAAAGAACCTCTTGTAACATCTGAAATTCATAAATTTCCGTTTCAAGTTATTGGTATGGACATAGGGGAGTTTAATTCGAAAATCTTTCTGGCTGTAGAAGATTACTACTCAAGATGGTTGGATATTATACCTCTCAAGAATAAAACATCCACTGAAATTATCAAAAAACTAAAAATTCTTTTTAGTAATCATGGCATGCCTGAAATTGTACGTTGTGATAACAACCCGTTCAGTAGTGCAGAAATGGCAGCTTTTGCCAAACATGGGGGAATTAAAATTTGTATGTCTTGTCCTCACTACCCTAGATTTAATGGTCTCTCGGAGAAAGGATAGGTGTCGCGAAGAAGATGATAAAGAAAGTCTCTTATTCAGGGGGAGACATTTATGAAGCCATTCAAGAATACTGAACAACTCCCCTTTCTGGACTCGAGTATTCTCCAAGCCAAGGGTTGATGGGTCGAAGACTGCGAACCAGGGCGTCAGCAAGCATTGATCTCCTTATTCCCATAACACCAGACGATGATGTGCGCCAAAGAATGGAGCTTCTAAAATTCATGACTAAACTATATTATGACTCAACTTCTCGTCAATCAGAGGAGTTCAAGATGGGACAACCAGTTTATGTTAAATGGAAGGATCGATGGAAAGAAGGAGCTATTACAAAGGTTCTCCCTGAACCAAGATCATACTTGGTCAGAGACCAGTATGACAACGAATATAGAAGAAACTCATCCCATATAAGACGCCTCACCACACCTAATACTGATCCTCAACTCAACCCAACTAATTCTGATTCTGATCCTTTACCCCAACCTGTTAATGCTTTATTTCAGGTGGAACAGAGACAGTCTCCGCTTCCCAAATGGTTCTTCCCTGCTGTTGCCAGAAGGACTGTCAATTTCCAATGATCAAGCTCAGCAGGCATCTCCTACTAGTGAAGGTATGCGCACCAGATCGGGCCGCCTAATGAAGCCACCGAAAAGACTGTGTGAGGATTAAGAGAAGGGTTTAGTATAAGACTGTAACCTCTATTTATATTCAATTATAATATAATCGATTACACATGTTAATTAGATAAAGATAAGACAGATGGTGTATTTTGTAATAAATAATAAAGCACGCCTACGTTTGTTCTAAAAGTATTTTTATTAATTAATCATACATAGTACAGTGTTCAAGGAGTCTGGCTGAGGCAGATAATTATTTGAGCCTTTCAGTTGATAGAATGACTAACAACACTGCAATCACCTACTCTGGAATCAACTTACTCTCTGTCTGTACAGATATTATAGATTTTCCAACTAGAAATATTCCTAAAATTACTTTACTCAAAAATGTTGAAATTGGAGTTAGTCATTCTGTCAACTGAAAGACTTATTTATCCTGTTACACCAGCAGTAAATCAACCCTTGGTATCAGGAGATCCACCTGGGTTCCACCTAATCTCTATGAATTGGGTACTTTTAATTAATAAGAAAAACCTGACAGTTGAATGTGATCTCGGTCAAATCATCTAGCACGACCCTTGATCGAGAAACAGTACTGAACTCAATAATGTCCATTAGTTCTAATAATATAGTTGTTTCTCTCAATTTTATAGGTAAATCACAACTGTTGAGGACAGATATTAATACTGTTAATTTTACTTATATGAAAGGGGCCATTCCTAAAGCAGTTATATATTTTATTTTATTACTGGATTAAATTTTTAGAACTAAAAAGAATGTGAAAAGAATAAAATATTGCAAAACTTACAAATATATAATTGAAACTGACATACATAAGTGAACAAAACGGAAATGGTGGAGATTTGATTACTATGAAATTGATAAAATGATGAGTTATAGATGTTTTTTAAAATTCTTGTTGGATAGAGAAATTTAAATATTGAACAGAAACTGCCTAGCACCTATTGATGAGCTTCATCTCGTTAGAGGATCTAAGGAACAAACTACGTATGAAGACGGGTATCTACATTCTTACTGAAAGTGATTTTCTCCTTATGAAAGAAGAGAACTGCTCATGCTTGGGAGAGTTCATGTATGGTTGAATAATTGCTGTGGTACTTGAGTACTTCAACATTGGTGGCACTAGGCGAAAACGGGAGCTAGCTTACATTGGAATTCCTAATGGACAAAAGTCTTCCTGAATTCAAGAACTTCAGTTCAAGAAACTTTATAAGGCATAAGTGGCTTAATAGATGTATCATTTATTACTTCCTTACATGTTTTCTCCTTAGTCATATTAAAGTGATAAAGATTCTTGAGATTTGTTTACTTTAAAAGTACAATTATATTTATAATAACATTTATTTTCAGCATATTGATTTTATTTTGTATTTATTTTTTGCCATTCCTACTGCTTTTTAATTTGATTTTTGTTAATTATTGTAAAATTTGATTGGTACATTCTGTTCTAGGTTCTTGAGAGAAACTTAGGAAAAATAATTAAAGCTAAACAAGATAAATCAGATTCCAGAGTTTTTTTTACCCAAGCTTTTATTGAAAAATGTAAAGGTATTGTAAAAGGGGCCTTACGAGCTTTAACCAGGCCAACACAAGTGTCAGCTATTCTCGAAGCTACTGATCTCCAAGAGAGAGATTTTTACTGTAAGACTTTTTTTTTTTTACAGCAATATTATACGAGTCATTTCAAAATTTCGATCAAATTTGGGCATACATGTTTTTCTACTTTTTAGGCCAGGCATATACATTAAGATATACCTGTCAGGTAAATCTGCACAGGTAAACTGGAAAGATATATCTTTGCATCCTTGAACTCACACACGCTACGATAAACTGAAAGATTTTAATTCAGTCGTGATCGCTTTACTTTATTAAAAAGTGTACTAATTATCCTGAAAACTGTACAGGTATATTGGAGTGATTCACACACATGTTCACGTGTACCGTCTATAAGCCTACGCAGGTAGAAAATACTGAATTTCACTTCTTCTCCTGTCGCCAAGCCTGTGCAGTTTGGTCTGCACTGGCTGGCACAGACCCTCCGGTTTACCTCTACAGGTAAACCTCACTTGTATACCGGAATGTGTATGCCTGGCCTTAGTAATCTTTATAGTTGCCTTAAAAAATTATTAATGTGAGCGTTCATAATCATCAACATAACCATAGAGGCATCATCATATCACTAAATCCCTAAAACTCATATCAACCAACCCATTTCAAAAAACAATATAAGGAATGTTTTATGGATACAAGATGTCAGAGAGAGTGAAATTTTAAGTTAAAAAATATGTAAAGAAAATTGTTCAGGATGATGGGTCAGGAACTCAACTAATAAATAAATTATTTAAAATTGGAAGAGATTTTCTTCAAATAAAACCATCAACAAAATTATCATTTTTGCTCTGTTTCACTAATCTTTTAAACATTTTTTATGAAGTGAGGATCAACACCAGTGACACTTAAAATGAGTGCTTCAGTGGACTTGGTTTAATCAATATTTTTGTTCATGAAGGAATATTTTTACCAAACAATGAATGACAAGTATGATTGATAGATATATCATATGATCTCTCCATGATATAAGATGATGATCATGTGAAGTAATGATCTCCCTGCTTTCAATTGTGATTGTAGTCTCTAGACAATAATTGGGTCATTATTTGTTTCTGGTGTCATAAACTTGACCATGGGGCCAGTATAGGACTTCTGTGGTAGTCTTGGATTGACAAAAGAAAAAAAAAGAAAATGTGACCAAAATTTTGAATGACCATACACTTACATGAATTTGTTTGTGATATGATTTCTATTTATAGTTTGATCTAAACTCTGACAATTGACTAAATACATGTTTTTATATCATACAAACATTTAACAAATTAAATTATTTGTGATTTAGCATGTCATAGTTTATTTATTTTCTTTATATAGTTGTTAAAATCCTTGATAGTTCATGTATGTTGTTGATTTTGTAGATGCTTATGATTGTTTGGTAGAAGATAAGCAAACATTTGGATCTCTTACTGCAAGACAAGGAAATGCTACATTTATACCTCAGATGTATACAAAACAGCAAAGTGATTGGGTTCAAAATTTCTACAAACAAAATGGATATTTAGGTGAATTAGCTATTTATAAAATGTTTTAACTAAATGAGTAGATGATTAGACATGAACTAATTGTACATATTTCCTTTAAATAGAGTATGACGCTCTAACCAGACTGGGAATATCGGATCCTGTCTCTTTCGTGCGAAGGAATTACAGTGACCTACTGCATTTACCTACTTGTGCTGTTGGGTCTCTGTTGATTGATCAAATAGAGGCAGCAGTGGAAGATGCCATATCATCAAATTCATTTGTTGATCTTATGGTAAATTTGTTTCCTTATTAATACAAAAGATAACTACTTGTGTGAAATATTTCAAGAAGATTATTTCTAAATAGAACGGTGTTTGGCAAAAGGGAACCATCTACTAAATATGCCAAAATGAGTTAAAATTTATTTGGAATGGGATTAGACTATTTTCAATAGAAAAGAACTATCTCTTAGTTCAGATATCTTCATTTTAAAATGGAAGTGGAGAAAACTATTGAAATAGAATCTTTTTTTTTTTTTTTTTTTTTTTTATTTCTTTATGACATTTACAACTGTATTACATAAATACATCAAGTAAATTTGGACATAATTGATATAATGACATGAATACACTTGCTGAGTAACTACCCAATGGTAGCACTCTAATGATATGACTATATTAGGAGATCACGGGGCCATCTTCTTTTCAGACGCCTCGGAGGGTTATCAGGAATTGAAGAGGAAGCAAGGTTAGAAACGAGAGGGTTGGGATGATTCTGAAGTTTATTATGGAAGGATAGGTATCTGGATTGGGCCAGATCTGAAACATAAGGAACATTAAGATCTTTATGGATAATTTTATTAGTGACAAAGTAAGGAGCATTGAGGATTTTACGAAGGATTTTGGATTGTAAGGATTGGATGCGAGAGGAATTCGATGGTTTAGTGGAGCCCCATAGCTCAACTCCGTAAGTCCAAATAGGTCTTATTATAGTCAAGTATATAAGTCTTTTGTAATTAATGGGAAGTTTAGAGCGTTTGTCTAGTAAGTGCTGAAGTAATCGGAAACGTCGAGCGGTTTCTTGTCGTTTCAGTCTAGTATGAGGATTCCAAGTTAGTCGTTTGTCCAGGTGGAGTCCTAGGTATCGGATTTGCTCAACAGGGATAAGTGGAGTATTGTTAAAGGAAACTGTAGGACAGGAAGTCGTTGGTTTACGACGAAGGGTAAAGGTAATTTGGTGGGATTTATTGGAGTTTATTTTAATTCTCCAGTTTTGACACCATTCTTCTAGATTTATGATGTGTGATTGAAGCATTTGGGATGCAATTGCTGGGTCATTGTTTACTGATAGGATACATGTGTCATCGGCATATGTGGTGATGACAGTGTTGGGACAGGTAGGGATGTCAGCTGTATAAACTGTATAGAGGATAGGACCTAGGATACTACCTTGAGGAACACCAGCAGACTGGGAAAAAAGGGATGAATAGGCGTTATTGTGATTTACTTTAAAGTATCTATCAGTAAGGTAGGAACGGATAATGAGGAAGTATGTAGGTGGTAGGAATTTTCGGAGTTTGTACAGCAGTCCCGGGTGCCAAACTCTATCAAACGCCTGTTCAACGTCGAGAAAGACTCCCGTACAGTACATTCCGCGCTCCAATGCAGAGGAGACTACGTCTACCACACGATGACATTGCTGTATAGTGGAATGGGAAGTTCGAAAACCAAATTGGTGATCTGGGATTATGTGTTTAGAATTTAGGATAGGGTACAGGCGTTTTAAGATGAGTTTTTCTAGGATTTTGCCCATGATGGGTAAAAGAGAGATAGGACGGTAAGAGGATGGGTATTCTGGTGGTTTTTTGGGTTTGTGGATCATTTTAACAATAGATCGTTTCCAAAGATCAGGAAAATATGTAGAACGGAGTACAGCATTATATATATAAGTAAGGAATAGGATGGCTTTTCGAGGAAGAAGTTTTAGGATCTGGGATGTAATTAGGTCATGTCCAGGAGCTTTACGGGAAGGTAATTTTTGAATGATGTTGGATATTTCTATGGGATGAAATGCTTTGGGTGGCAGAGACATTTGGAGAGGAATATCCAGTTCTGCTTCAATACAATTGATGTGAGTTGAATTAAGGATATCGAGATGTGGATTAAAAGTTTGGAAAAGATGTTGACCAAATAGTTGGGCTTTTTCTTCGTCGGATTTGGACCAGGTTTGGGAATCAGTTAGTAGTGGATGATTAAAGTCTTGAAACTTAAGAAGTTTTTTGGTGGTCATCCATAATGATTTGTCAGTGGTTGTAAGTTTTTCAGTAAAATTTAGTAAATTTTGAATTTTGTATTTTCTAATTTCTGATTTCAGTTTGTTAGTCAGTTGTGTGTAATGCGATTTATCTGTTGGGTATCTAGTCCTATGCCACTTCGATCTTGCTCTGCGTTTTTCCTGTAATAAGATGCGAATATGCTGTGGCAAGTTAGTATTTTGTGGGAAGTTAATCTTATTGATAAAGGTGTTATTATTTATACTGTCTGTTATTGATGATGTCAGTTTTTCTATGACACCATTAATGTCTTCTTTTGTTTTTAGTGGGATTTTGAGGTCTAGTTTGTTTTCCAAATCATCACGAAATTTGTTCCAGTTTACTCGTCCAGTGATCAGTTTAGGAAGTGATGGTTTAGGAGCAAAGTCAGAATGTAGTGAAAGCAGAACTGGACTATGGTCTGAAGAAAGGTCATCCAGGGATTTGATTATAGTTTGGGAGGAGGAAATCTGGGAGGTGATAAATTGTCCAGGATATCGGGACGTTTTTTGAGGGATGTTGGAAAATAAGTAGGATTCATGGGCGAGAGGATGGAATAATTGTTGGAAAAAGAAACTTGTGAAAGGGTATTACCACGGGAGTTGGATGATCGACAACCCCATCGTTGGTGTTTAGCATTGTAGTCTCCTCCAGCAATAAAGCGCGATCCGAGGGATTGTAAAAAGGATTCAAGTAGGCTGTACGAGAGGGAATTGCCAGGAGGACAGTATACAGCTGAAAGTGTTAGATGGAAAGGACGAGTTGAGAGGATTACAGAAGTTGACTGAATGGCATCTGTTGGAATAGAAGGAATAAGGGAATGGGGTAAAGATTTGTGGATAAGGATGCAAGAACCGGCGTGGGCAGTGTTGTCTGGGTGGTCAGATCTATAGGTGATGTAGTCACGTATGTAGAAATGTGTCCGTTGGGTGAAGTGAGTTTCTGTTAGGAGGGCAATGTCAATATAATTGTCATGGAGAAATATGTCTAGTTCGTCACGGTGGTTTTGCAGTCCATTAGCGTTCCATAAGAGAATAGCTAGGGACTTTGAGTTCATCGAGGGAAGCTAAGTGGGATTTCAGAAAGGAGTCTGGTTAGAAGCGTTATGAGCGGTTTGATAGTCTGTTGAAGATCTATCAGGAATGATGATAAGATAGTGTTGATGTCGGATGGTGTTTGGCTGGGAAGTGGGTTTGGATCAGGAGGTTGTGATGGGTAGGTTATGCGACTAGGAATGTTGGGTGGGGGATGGGCCTGTCGTGGGGTACGAGGAGGAGGAGGATCTAAATTCTGTTGGACTTGTGGAGGGAGGTTCATCCTGGGATTAGGAACGAATGGAGCTGGATGTGGATGCTCTGGCGGGAGTTTGACTCTTAAGGGTAAATGATGAGGAGGGATTTGCTGGCGAGGAGGTTGAGGCTGAGTATTAGGGATTTTGGGCTTGGATTGGAAGGCCTGAGGCGCCTGACGTTGAGGTTGCTTCTTACTGATGGAAGACTGGGAGTGAGAATTTCTGAGATTCTGGTGAGGTGAGTCCTTAGCTGTAGAGATGGATGGTTGTTGTTGGATGACGAGGAAAGGTGAAGTCGGCAATGCTGGGAAAATATCCTGATTTTCAATTTCAGGTGGTTCAGTGTAAGTTTTCTGAGCAGATTCAAGATTTTTCACCGCTGAGTTTCGTGATCTTTGTTTGTAAAGATTTTTATATACTTCACATCCTCTGTAGCTCGCAGGATGGGCTTCGCCACAAAGAGCACACATCGCAGGCTCATCTCTTGGCTTCTGGCAAGTGTCTGAAGCGTGTAGGCCGGCACATTTAACGCATCTGACTTCGTGATAACAATAGGCCTTTGTATGGCCCAAGTTTTGACACTTAGTGCATTGTACAATTAGAGGCTTCTGTTTCGGTTCCTCAAAACGGACAATTGAGTAAACCAATCGTTGAACCTGGAATATTTCAACATTGGTTTTTGCTGGTTCCAAGTCTATAAAAAATAATGGTAGCGGATATCTTTCTCTAGGATGTAGTACAGGTGCTATGTGCCTGACATTATGACCGATTTCTTCGAGGCCCGATTTGATAGCAGATATGGGTGTGGTTGAATTAGTCCTCTCAGGACCACTCGATACGCCTTTTCTTGTTTTAATTGGTAACAGTGGAAGTCGTAGTTATTGGTTGTTAAGAAATTGATTAGTTTTTTATAATTGTCTCTAGAATTAGTATTAATTTTGATGTCGTTCACTCTCGAGTAACATCGAAAATTTGGCTGTCCGATCAAATCTGCAATTTGTTGACCAAACGACATAAAGTTCTTAATTTTTGAAACAAATATTGGCGGCGGCTCAGGATCAGAAAAATCTTGAAGCTGCGGAGTCTTGTGAGACAAGTTGTTTTCTTGAATTGAATTTTTGCTTTCTGATGTTTTTGGTGCAGTTGGCTCTGATTGAGTGGTATTAGATTTGCTCCTAGTTCTCGGTGGAGATTTATCTTGTTCTGGTTGCTTATTTGATTTATTTTTCTTTTTTTTTTTATTAGGTGAGTTTTGTCCCGATCCGGAAACTGAGTTTCGGAGACGCTTTTGGAGTGTACGCCTTTTCAAATATTGCGAGTCGGTCTCGCTAATTTCCGAAAAGGGTGTCTCATCCTCCGTGTCTTCACATGATGTGTTCTTATCCAGATCCATCATGATAAGTGTTAGAGAAAATTAAGAAAAAGAAAAAAAAAATATGTAAATATATATATAAACCTAAATATTAAAATTAAAATTTATGAGATAACTTCTTAAACACTAAGCTATTTACAAAATTATTTACATAAATATATACAGATATAAAATAAAATATAAAATAATTCATTTCCAAAAAATAAATAATCAAAGAAAAAATGAAATAAAAGAGTCTCTGGAAAGAAAAAAAAAAAAAAGAAAATATAAAGAAAAAAAATGAAGTTAAATGTCTTGGATTCGAACTGAGAATAACACTGAAGAATGTTATTGTACACAGTGCCGAGCCTTGACTTGAACTTATCGCAGATAAGGTAAAACCCGCAAGGGAATTACTAGCCACATGGGCTAACCAAACGAGCACTAATTTATAACTGTTTCATTGTTAATAAATAGTCACTCACCTGATCATATGTGAATATAAAAATATAAAACTATTAATATAGTCACTGTTGAAAAAGTCTTAGAGCAGTATTTTAAATAATAAGCACATTAGATCGTATCAAAGGCAGAGCGACGTGTAACTTGAATTGCACTAGCGTCCATGACACTTGCTACGAAATAGAATCTGAATTTTTTTTCATTTTCATGGAAACATAAATTATTGTTCTTGAAAACTGTATCAATAACTTTCAGATTCTATGCCTTGATAAGTAATAAATAAAGAAAAACTCCCCAAATTATTTTTCATCTCTTATCCTAATTTATTTATGGACGTCTGGTTTGTGCCATTCCGTGTATACTAGATGGCTCTAAGTGTGTGTAAATTTCTCTATGAATAAGTGGAGCCATGTCGAAGCTATCACAACTTTTGTTGTGATTTTCGGGAAGAAACCAAGGCTAGACAGAAATTTGGTGTACAAAAATTTTATTTTTTGACTGAAAATTCATATTTAAGGGTTTTTCAAGGTGTGAAATACAAATCTCAACTTTATTTCTCCTTAAAAAAATATTTGAACCCACTTCACTCCATAGGACAGTACTAATTATTTCAATATCGTACTCATTCTGTAGCTGTATGCTAAATATATATGTTTTTCTAAACCGGACGGGTATCTAAAGGAATATTGAATTCACAAAATCTTTTCTTTATAACTTTTTTTCCTGAATTTTCTTGGGGATTTAGTATATGTACAAAAATTAAAAGGACCTTAATTAGAAAATTATAGGAAAGTTTCATCAAAATCGTTAGAGCCGTTTTTGCGCTACAGTCTACAGAAAAATATGTTGTTCAATTAATGCGCAGGGAGTACCCAATTTGTTTCACATGCATCAGTAGTCAAAACCCTAGTAATCAAAAAGAAGTAATAAATTTGATCTACTAGTTCCCGAGATAATCTTGGCACAGACAGACAGAGAGACCAATGGCTGAAAATGTGTTTTTCGGACTCAAGGTGCTCTGAAATGTGAAATGAGTGCCCGCTCTGCCACACAGCCCCTCAGGCTACTCATTATAAATCATCATCTTACAAAGAATTAAATTATAGTTTATGATGGACTCACCTCTCATTTCTAATTGTTTTCTGTACCATTACAAACCATGAAGAATTTTGGATTCAGTATTTTGTTAGGAAGTACAGTAGGCTAACGGCTCTGCAGGGAGGTGATAGGGCCAGGATCATGCTCGACCATCATGTTTTCCCTCTCAATTAATTATTTAATTAAGAGTACCCATATTATACAGGCTGGATGAACCCCAGGAGGGGAGGGTATCCCAACTCCAGTGTCCATCCACAACTGATAGAAATTTACTTCACATCTCTGATAATGATTACTAAATATAAAGTCTATTATAAAATGTGTTTATAATAGTAATTTATTAAAAATAAATGTTATATTAATATTAATTTTAAATACTAACAGTATAATGGTTTGGTATGAAAGATATTTTGTATTATAATTTCAGAAAAAAATTTCAGATGATTGTTCCATCCATATTCAGCCCTGATGATGTGGCTAAAGTGCTTGAAGCTGTTATGAAACGGAGCAAAGGGAAATCAGCACCTCTCATTTTCTCAGATACAGTACTCATTTCTGAAGGATTTGTACAGGAAGTTCTTAAACCCTTTACAGATAAAGGTATTATACAGAAGAAAGCACAACAGGTAACTAAATCACTATCCTATATAATTAGTAGAGATTAACCGATGCCGATATTAATATCAGCATACGGCTGTTTGGCCGATTATTGGCAACGCGCGATATGAAGTGTTGATATGCCGATATATTGGCCTTTCTTTTTTTTTTTTTTTATCCTCTACCCAGATCAGCAGGTACAGATTTCCTAAAGATCGATATATTGGCCTTATGACCTTATTTAATTGAGATTATTAGAGTTTGATCATTTGTTTATTTTTTTATGTATTTCTTTGGTCCTACTCCTCCATAAGTTGAGCAGATTTGCCAAAGACTTACTTTACCGATATATCGACCTCTTTCACATTGATTTTATTTTTATTGCTAACATATGTTAATGGATCAACATAAACATAAATATGAGCAAAGACGTCGTTATAACCTTATTTTATTGAGATTGGTAGATTTAGGCAAATTTGTAAGGCCCTCCCCTTTCCCTAATATGAGCTATACTGGTATTCCAAAGATCAATATATCGACCTTACGACCTTATTTTTTCGAGATTCTAAGAATTTAATTTTGAATATTATTTTTATTGCTAATAAATGCGCAATTCAACCGTAAACGGGTCTGCATAAACATAAATTTGAGTAAAGAATGATATATCACCCTTATGACCTTATTTAATCGAGATTATTAGAGTTTGATCATATTTAAAAAAAATTGTCGAATATTTTTTTATTGCTGATAAATGCGTCAAAGGATCAACTTATATCGCGATTTATAGGGCGATCGGAGTTATAGGGCGATATATCGCCCTTCTAACCTTATTTTATTGAGATTGGTAGTGTTTGATCAATTTTTTAATTTAATATTTAATAGTTGCCATTGCATTATAAAGGAAGGAGATGGTCTGGGATGGCGGACATATATAGGCTAAATAGTGGCAAAACTATTTAGCCTATTTATGACTGCCACCCCGGACCATCTCTTTCCGTTTTATTTTTTAATGTATTTTTTTGGTTCTTCTTCTCCAGAAATTTGATTAGACCAATATATCGGCCTCCCTACCATATTTTATCAAGATTAGTTGAGTTTGATTTCTTCTTTTGTATTTATTTATTTTTTTTGTGCGCATCTCTACCACACTTTTCTCAAACTGATGTATCATTGTACTGAAAAACGTTTGGAAGAAGACGAGCACAAAATAAAGATTAAGACTAAGATTAAGATTAAGGCAAGGAAGATAAAGGCCTCCTTCTCCTTCAGGCGGGTAAAATAGTCCAATCACTCCGAAAATTCAGGCAAACAAGTTATGAAACAAAACAAACTTTATTTGCGAATAACTAAAAAATTACACACTTTTTCCTTGGTTATTCCCATGATTATATAAATCATCCTAAATTCCCTACAAAAGGAAAAAAAAAATCATTGAAATTGGACAATTTTTAGCAAAGATACAGCTTACTGAAATTTGTAAACATGTTGGTTCCAAAAAAAAATGAAGATTTAAATTAATTTTTGTTTCCTTTGTCGATTATATTTATCGATAAAGTAGCATTTGATGTCTTTATCTTTTGATATGTTGCATTATTTTTTTTCTTATTAATTTGCCATATTGATAATATGTTGTGCGAATTTTTCACACGGGCCTACTAGTAATATAAATACATTTTTAAAAAATGGTCGAACAGTACTAATCTCGATAAAATGAAGTCATCAGGCCAATATATTGTGATGATTGATTGTCACTTTTTACGAGCAATTACGAGAATTTTCTATGCGACTTTGTACTGAACTAGACTTATCAAAACAAATGGCCGATATGCTGAAATATAGGTTTATCTATGTTTTATTGGTCGAGATTTGTGTATAGGCCGGTGCATGGCTATTTGTGTAGATGGTCTATTTATTCTTTTATTTAGCAATAAGTAGGATATTCCATGTGAAACTGCAATAAAATAAATCTCGACGAAAAATGAAAAAAAGGCCGATTTATAGGCCATATCGGCCAAAATTTCGATAGGATTTTTATTGTAACATAAATATTCCTAAAATCATTATAGTTATTTATGGTACTTATTTAGTAGCGGGTAGCGTCAAAACCTGCCTTTTTATCTATTCTAATTTCACATAACCTCTCTCATCTAACCTAAGTTATTTTTTGTTTCTTGTGTTAGCTGTGAGTTTATTTAATTATGGATGTTGTCACATTGTGGGAATTGCCGCCTTCAGAAGAAGAGGCTATAAAATATTTTCAAGACACCGGGATATTTGCAAAGGTCAAATATTGTGATGAAGGTCATAAAATGAAGTTCGACGGGAAGATTAAATGGAGATGCTTTCGCAGTTGTAACAAAACCGTTTTTATAAGGAAAGGAATGTGGTTAGAGGGTTTGAGGATTTCTTTTTTAACGGATTTAAAATTCATTTATGGGTGGTCCCATAATTTAACTACAATACAGTGGGGGAAAGAGCAGCTCAAACTATCCATTGCTACTGTCATAGCATGGAACAAATTTTTAAGAGAAGTTTGTGCCCATGACATGTTATATAGGTCAAATAAAAAAATTGGAGGGCCTGGCAAAGTCGTCGAAGTAGACGAGAGTCTTTTTTCGAAAAGAAAAAATCATGTGGGGAGAGTCCTACCTGAGCAATGGATGTTTGGCGGAGTTTGCCGAGAAACAGACGAGTGTTTTATCATCAAAATAAACGATTAATTAGTGTTAATTATTACAACTTTATTAGAAGCCATTAAAAACAATGTAGAAGAGGGAAGCACCATTTATTCCGACTGCTGGAAAGGATACAACACCAAACAACTCAATGAAGCAAACTACAATCATTTTGAGGTGAATCACAGGTATAATTTTGTTGATCCATCAAGTGGAGTCCATACTCAACACATTGAACGATTATGGGGCTCAGCTAAGTGGAGAAATAAAAAACACAGAGGAACTACCAGACAACACCTGGATTCATATTTATGTGAATTTTTGTGGTGGCAGGCGCATAGAGATCAGGATTCCTTCCTCGCTATTTTAAATACCATAAAACTATTCTCCCTACCAGAGTAAAATTTTTCATATTTTGTTTCTATCGTTTCATCATAATGTTTCTTTTGTATGTACATACGCTGTTTAAGTAGTTTTTTATTATTTCATCTATTTTTTGCCTATTTTTTTTATTATTTCATTTATTTTGATATATATGTTGCAATGTTTTTTAATTATATATTTATAATGTTTTGGTGTATTTTAATATATATGTTGTAAAATAAAAGTATTTTGTTATTATTACATTTGTTTCTGCTTTTGTTCACAATTTCAATAATATCAATACAATACAATAAATATGAATACGAAGATATAATAATATGAATATAATACAATAAATATGAATACGAAGAGCTTATCAGTGTTAAGGTTATAAACATTGGCAGATAGCAGTCGGACGCTACCCGCTATTAAATAAGTACCTGATTTATTTTTGAAAATAAATTAATTGTTAATTATCTAAAATCAAACATTCAGAGGCTAATTTTTTTACAAAAATTTCCTTAATTTTTCCAAGTTCATATGAAAAATAACTAAAGCTTGTTAGTTCTTACATTAATATCGGATAATATTTAGCATTAGGAATGCTTATTTCACTGATGTTTTATTTTGATCTATACTCAGAACAAGCCAAAAGAAAAAAAATTAGCTTTAGGTATAAAATTCATCAACTGTAATGTTTATTATGTTTTTTCTTTGACAACCAACCATAGTTGTGGCTGGCTATCCTTATTTCAGAATATTGTTGAGTAATATTTTTCACACCAGGAAATAGATGTTATCATATTGCATTTGAATCATAGGCTATCAATGATGGGAGCTACATACAGCTTCAGATGGAAAAGAAACTAGGTCGTTCTTTGGGAAAAGAAAAAATGGATGATAATTTTGACAGTAAGGCTGACAAGAAAGAAGAAAGACGAAAGAAAGCAGGAAGTGGAAAAAGTGGAGGCGGAACTCAGGTAAAATCTCAAACACAATTATCTACAAAAAGTTAGAATAGACTATGATGAATATTATATATTAAAGAATAGTTATGACAAATTTATTATTAGGTGTCATTGAGAAATATATAGAAATTATTAACTCCTATCATACCTATAAAAATGAAACTTCGTATGTTTATTTCTGGGCAATATATCAAAAGAACCTATTAATAAATTTGCAATTTATTAACTCCATTGCTTAATTAGATAATTAGTTGAAGGGAAAAAAATAATAATCATGTTTTTTAGTTAAATAATAATCTATGGTTTCTCTGTGAAATAGGGTCGAGAGACAAAAACAAAAGCTGCTCCTAAAAAAAAAGGTCGTTCCAGAAAAGAAAGTGGTGGTTCTGAAAATGAAGTGATCGATAAAAAATTAGAATTTTTCACACCAGAAGAGGTAAGTTTTAAATTTCAGTAAAAATAGTGATAGTTATCTAATACGTTTTTGCCTTTGCTGTATTAAGCTGGCTTCCCATGGGCTGATGGTTGCTCTATAGCTGGCATTTCCTGCCCTGTTTTGGCACATGCCCCATCATGCAGGTACAAGCTGACAGGCCTTGGTTAGGCTTTAATCCATCATGGTATCAACTGATCTCTTCTGGCACATGCCAGTGTGCCACTGTCCAACTCTTGTTTGATGCACCTAATTCACAAGTGCACTGCTATTATTTTCGTTACTGTATAGTAGTTGAGATTTGAGGAAGTCTAATAAACCAAAGTAGGGTGGGAGACCAATGTTGACAAATTTTTAATTAAACCGGTCCTCTCAAAATACACGTTAGCAGCTAACACTTCAGTATTGTCCAGTAACTGCCTTTGGAGGCCATGATTTCTCAATATTAAGTATCACTCACAAATATAAATAACACTATTTCTTTCTTGCACGACATTAAAACCAAATTGAACCATAGCTTCTACTTAAACAGACTGTGGGAAGACAGGCCAACACAGATCTTGGGGAGAACTCATTCCCGATCTGTGTTTTTCTATGGTCTCTGATAACACAACCTTGAGAAATCAGCTTTGCTTTTACTCTTTTGACATGAGTGTTTTTTTTTTTTTTTTTCTCCAATGAAAGTTTCTTTTGTCTACATGATTGTTCAATTATATTTTAAGATAATTTATTTATTTTGTTTGTTTTTTTAGGTTGAAGGTGAATTATCAAGTAATAAGAATCTGGAAGAACTTGAAGATAGTGGAGTTTTAACAGACTTTGCAAGACATATTACTCCGTGAGTATAGTTTTTAAAAATGTAAGGAAATATATTTTAACGCTACTATTATTTAAAATGCTGAGTGTTAAAGGGCTATTACTTAATTATTTGGGGGTCAAAGATTTATCTTCATTATTCTTTCATATTAGTTACTTTGTTGATTGTTTCAAGAGTAGAAAAAAAAATCTGTTCAGAAAATATTTTTTTTAAATTTGTTTTCCAAGCATTTTTTTCTGGTAAAGAACTGCTCTTTTAATATTCAGTACTTTAAATACTGAAACATTTAATAAAATGTGTTAAATCGATTTGCTAAAAGATATGTAATGATTTTTCGAACAAACGGCTAGATAGATTTTGAACTTATATTTATTATATTATTCGGCGAGTGTTTAGAAAGCAAAAAATCGTGAGAGTCATGTGTTTGGGATGTCCCCTAAAAGTTATGTAACTATTTTTTGAGCGAACGGTTGGATCGATTTTTAAGTTAGGTATCTTGAATTATTCAATGTGATCCCATGTGTGTTTTGAAACCATTTGACTTAAAAACACTGACCTGTGATTGAATAAAACATGTTTAATCGATTAGCTAAGAGGTATATAACGATTTTTCAAGCATGCTTCTTGAACGATTTGTAGGTTTGATATCATAAATTATTCAATGAGATCCAGTGAGTGTTTTGAAAGAATTTTAACTCAAAATTCTGGCAAATTACTGTGTAAAGTGTGTTTAATCAATCTACAAATAGTTACATAATGATTTTATGATTTTTTGAGAGGACGCATGATCGATTTTTAACTTTGGTGGCTATAGTAAGTATATAGTAGTAGGAGTAATTAAATTATTCAGTTTAAATTAGCTCATTTTTTATTTTCTTTCTTTACTGGAAATAAAATTATACAGTTGTAGCAGTAGAAGATAATGTATATGAGGAAATATACACTTTTATAAGTGAACTGCATCATCAAAGTGGTGAATAGTTCCAATTATTTGCAGTTTATTACTTTTTTTTTAGGCTTCTTAATAAGACAACTTATGAAACCACTGCCAGACTCTTTGAAGAAACTTTAGTCTCTGGTGCTAGCCAAAGAAGAAAAGCTCATGTAGAGCTTGAAAACAAGCTAGAAAATTGGTTGCTGGAATTAAAACTAACTGAACGCTCAATTAAATTGTTTCCATTTGCTGATACTCAGTCACGACTTACAGCATCAGTATTAAGAATGGTTGGAACAGAAGTTGTGAATGCTATATTTTCCTATGCTACGTCAGCAGATGGAAGTAGTCCAGTTGATCCTAAACAAATTACAGCTGAAGTAAGTTACTTCTTTATCTCATTTTTATTACCTAGTATGGTAGGATACAATATAGCACAGGTATTATTGAAGGAAGTTAGTCGACTGTTCTACGTATCATAGGTAATAAATAGTGAAGACGCAGTCATTTTTAAGGTTTTTATTAGTGCCGACGTTTCAACCCAAGCATGTGGATCATCATTAGGGCTGAAAAATTGTTTAATACAATCAGAAATATAATATTATAAGACAGATAATGGTTAATAATTAAAAAATCTGGTGCGCGTAACACAATATATTATCTCAAGTATAAAATAAAAAATATAATGTTGGATTATTGCAAAAAGTCATTAAGCGCTATTTCATTAACGTAAGTAATTAAAAACTTTGATATATAATAGGCTTTGTGTTAGTTTAGTGCACTTGTTGTAATTTTCAATTGATAAATAAGGTTGAAATTGACAAAAAATGTTCTAAAAAGATAAGCTACATCAAAAATGTACTTCGTGACTTTCTGCAATAAACTGACAATATTATCTCATAAATTAAGCTCTCTTGTTCAAAATATATTTAACATATCATATGCTCATAACTAAAAGTAATATACTATTTTCTTAGGACATAATATACTGCACAACAAAATTATTAAATGTTTTTTTATTATATTTATAATTCTTTTATTGACTATATTTTATTTTTTTAGTACTTTATCATGTAATAAACAATATCTTTCAATTTTATGACCCATTAATTATTTTAAATATAATTTGCTTTAGATGAGGACGAAACTTTTGGCTGATGTAAATGGAGATTTGCACGATGCACTCGCTAGCCTGCATAAAACCCTTTATGGAAATAGCCTAGAAGAATTTATTAGTTCAGCAGAAGCTGCCTTATCATTAACTGGGCTTCTTGGTAGAAAGTCAGATAAGAAAAAAGAAAAGTAATTGTCATTTATTACATAATTTTTGTTTGAAAATGGATTTAAATTTTATTAAGTTTTATCTGTGATTATAATTGAAACATAAAAAATATAAATGTTAAGATTTTCTAGTCTAGAAACTTCAGTTTGAATCCAGCCTGGGCAGGTTGAAATTTATTATGTGTGAACCCACGGAATGAATCTCCATCTTCTCACTCAGATCAAAATAGGTTTGACTGTACCTCAAAAACTCCCCCCCCCCCCTCCTTTCCTTCTCTTATATGCCATAGTTGGCAAGATAGGGCATATCAAAAAATAAATAAATAAATAAAACTGCAGTGGGAACAGGAATGACACGGAAACGGGAAGTGTATTATAATAATAATAATAATAAGGCTTAGCGAACCCGTAGGTTCGATGCTGACACCACCAATCGCTTGTTACACACCTCCCTCCACCGTTCGCCGTCCAAACCCAGTCCCTTCAGATCAGCTTTAATGCAATCTTCCCACCTTCGCTTCGGTCTACCCCTCGGACGCTTACCATCCGGCACAGCAAATATTAACCTTTTAGGAATTCTCTTGTTACTAAGCCCAACAACTTTACAAGCCCATTTGATTCGCCGCGATGAAATTACCTCAATTATATTACCCGGATACAGCTCACGCAATTCGGCGTTGTGTAACCGTCTGAACTCTCCGGTTAACTCTTCCTTCTTCGGTCCGAATATTCTACGCAATACTTTATTTTCAACAACCTTAAGACGCTGCTCATCCCTTAATGTAAGCGGCCAAGTTTCGCATCCATAAAGAACTGTAGGCAAGATAATTGTTTTATAGATTCTAATTTTTAAGTTCCGGGACAAGAGGCGCGAACTAAGTAGTTTTGTCACAGAAAAATAACAAGCATTTCCCGCCTTCAGTCTAACCTTAATCTCTTCTTCAATTTCGTTTTTTCTAGTTATCGTTGAACCTAGATACCTAAATTTATCTACCTGTTCAAACATATTACCATCTATATTGATATCACCAGTAGTATCGCCATTTTTGCAGCTAACCATATATTTTGTTTTATCCACATTTATTTCGAGTCCTAGTTCTTTCCCGGCTTTCATTAACGTTGTCGTATTTAGTTTTATAGTTTCAACGTCTTCTCTTAACTGTACCAGATCATCAGCATAGAAGTGTATTATAAGAGAGGAAATATTTTAATGATATCAAGATACCAGATTTAATTTTTAAAAAAGTTTATATTAACTATCCAGACAAATCTTGAATATTGAGTTTTTAAATTTAAAATTTGACATTTATTTATTTTATTATTTTTTAAAAAAATATTTATATTATGAGATTGATTTAAATTATAAATAATTTCTGTGAAGGTTTCTTCCTGTAAGCTATAGGTATTTACAAATATGTATATTTTTTTATTAAATATTCACAATATCAAAACTTATGAATTAACTTTGTAAATAGCCTAAGGTAAGCTAAATACGTGTATATTTACTTGAACATATTAATGGGTTGTTAGTGAAGTCCTTTACAACAGATTGGTTTCTTTATCTAATTGTTATTCTTAAATCATTTTTAAATAATGCACCTGCACTCTTCTTACAGTTAGCAACACTTTTTAGTTTTTCAAATATCATCAATTTATATTTTATTTTACTTAAATATGATATTAAATCAACAAAAAGTCAAAAATATTTACAATATAATAAAATAATTATCTCAATATTTTTAGCCATAATTGTTTCAAAATATTCACAGAATGTCTCTTAATAGTTTTATCCATCATGCTTGAAAATCAGTTTATCAGTTAATTAAAAAATCATAACATAGCAACAAACGGGCAGGCTAAATACACCTTCCTTATACTATGCCGTAGTTGGGTATAAATTATATTTAATAATTAATATCATGGATGGCAGAAAGAAAAATAAAAAATGGAAAAGTGAATGAATGAGATATTTTATGTGTATAAACATTATTATTACTAAAATATTATTTTGAATATAATATTATTGGACTTTTCTTATATCACAGGCAATTCATACATAAGAGAAGAGAATATCTTTTGTCGGAACTATCTATCGAGACTACACCTGCTCTCGTCTTACAATTAGCAACGCTCACCTTGTTTCAAGCTGCAACAGGCCATATCCTCCAAGTTAGTGGCAAGTTTGTACCTACAATATTGGCCTTCCTAAAACCTCATCTCACAGATGAAGAGAATGCTATTCTTCAAGCATATCAAGGTGATTTAAATTTAAATTGTTTGCTCTGCATGGATTTATTACCATTTTTTTTTTATTCCTAATATTTTCTAAATGAATACAAGCGGTATGTATAAATCTATGATAAAAATAATAGCTTGTAAACTTGATTATTTTTCTTACAATTTAGTTAGATATTTTGTTTTTTCAGATAAGTTATTGAAATTATTATCCGTCGACAGTGAAGAAATGGAGGCAGAATTAAAAACAATCCTCAGTGAAGAAATGCCTAAAATAAAAGAATTAGCAACGACCTATAAGAAGATGATTCAAAAAGACAATTAATTTATTACTTTTGTACAAAATTTTTATACAGTTTTTTTAAGTTTAAAAAGCTTTTATTTAATTCTTCAAAGTTCAAAACTATATGTGGATCATTCAAAAATACACAAAAACAGCAATATGTATAAATTAATATTTTGATGTCCTTGGAATTCGTCGAAATGTTGTATAATAAAAAAAACTGTTATAAATATTGAAAAAATTAAATAAAATCAGAACTCGAAAAGAAATTAGTGTTTTTCATGTGTAATATGATTCTTTGAAAAACCTAGGAATGTGACAGGAAATGGAACTAAATGAAAATGCAAGTTCATAAAACATAGGTTTGTTAAAGGAGAATAACATAGGTTATTACAGGATTGATATTTCAAAAATTAAACTTTTTTTTTTGTTGCAAAAACAGGACCTGTTTGCATGTAAGTAGTTTTAGTATTGGAAATATACTTACTAAAATCATAAAAATAAGATTTAAATGAAATTTGTAATTATCAATTAATTTATACAATTGGTTTTATATAATATATTCTAATGATTGGATTCTTCTATAATAGAAAAACAATTTGTGCTAAGTTAAATCTGGCTGTTGTGTTTTACTCAATTTTTTTTTTTACTAACTTTATTGAATAAGGAGTTACTACTTCTAGCATATCTACTACTTCTTGTGGATTCTATGAATCCAAATGACCTTATTGCAACTTTTTAAGTTACAGATTGCACATGAAAACATATAGTTTATTTGAGTAATTTTCTTCAATGAAATACTATATCAAATTACTGTTAGCCATCATATGTAGAATGAGATTGGGCAATAAACAATTTTTGCTAGACCAAAAATAACTTGTAATTAATATTAAAACTTGCTTCTTAGTTTAAAGGATTATACTGATTCTGTAATCTAAAGAAGGTGGATGTACTAATATTAATCAACTAAAGCTTAGTTATAATCATATCTGAACTTCTCAAACTGTTGGGATGATCTTTGGCATTATAGCCAAAGAATGACAAATACAAACAGTCTACAAAAGATCGTAATATATTTTTTTAAAAAAAGTAATCTGTACGTTTTCATTCATATTTTAAATTATCTATACTTTGTAAGAAAAAAAAATCCTGATCTATTAGAAATAAGAATCTTTGACAGAGGATGAATGCACTTAACCTAAACAGGCAGAGTGCAACATTTTTTTTTTAAAACTAATTTGTTTATTTATTAACAGACATCTGATACAAAAAATACTGTATTTCATACATAATTGCACTATCTCTGAAAAATTAGCTTCTTAAACTTAATAATATGGGTACAAATTAATTGTTAACAAGTATATGAACCACTCCTTAGAAAAGATCCAGATATATATATTTTTTTTTAAATATCACATTTCCTACACAAATATTACGTTTGCATTATTAATCTAATTAATAATTTTAATTAACAACTTTATGATAGTTGTTGATTTTTAGTAGGATCCTTATTTAATTTTTAAAATTAGAATAGTAGATTAAGGTTTTAAATAGACGAAAATATTCTCACAGCAAATATTATTAATGAAAACATGGACATGGTGTCGTTTACCTCCGTGGCACAGATAACTTGCATAAATAAGTTGAAATACTATTAGATTGTATAAAAAATCTCTATTTAATTTTTAAATTAAAATTCCTATTAATTAGGAGAGAAGATTCAAAGTTTCATTACTTTCAAAAGATTTTTTTTCTCATTAACTTCCAAAAATTTTGAGTACGAAGTTGGGATTGCACCAGAAATAACATTGTTAATAACTCATTCTTTCAAAGATTTGCTTGAAAAAATGTCAGTCACTTTTGCTAATTTGATTTCATTTTCACCAATTCGTTGGCAATTTTATTAACATTTCGTGTTTTATCTATATAGCAAGTAAGTAACAGAATGGTAATTACAATGTTACTGGAAATGTTTTGCTAAAAACATACTAATAACTAGAGACCGGATCTTTGTGCAGTAAAAATTCGAAAAACGTGCAGCAAAAAACTCAAAACCGTGCAGTAAAAACCAACAAATATATAAAATTGTGTAATTAACACCTAATAGCAAGTGAAAATCATAAATTTTGTTTAATTTGTCATATAAATAAATTAAGATTTGATCAAATCTTAGGTTAAGCTTCTTAATTTAAAAACGTGAAATGAAAAAAAAAATTAAATTTAAAATTAAAATGCAACATTGAAAATGAAATTCTTGAGAATTCAAAGGAAAATTTAGAATTAAACTGTAATACTTCAGATTTTCAAGTGTTCAAATATTATTGTTGATAATGCTTTTCTAGATCACTAATTACATTTTTTTGGGACTTAGGCTCTTTCCAAATCGTGATCGTGAAATGGATAAATGTTCAGGTTTGAAGTTTCTACACTTAAGCGAATACAATGTGCAATAACATGAAAATCCGGTCTCTACTAATAACTGTTAATATTAACATTTAACTTTTAACGATGTAAACAGTATGCATAAAAATATTAAAAAGCAAAAATGTTACTAACATCTTTCTAATCACAATGATACTGGTACTATTTTGGTGTAAACATACCTTGAAGCTTCAAATTTTACATTGTGATATGTACCTATAACTTTACTTTCTGACATAACCATATACGTTTGGTATAAAGTCAATTTTCAAACCCAGTGTTATGCCAAAATAATGTCTGTTACACTCTCGGTTAACGATTTACTCACCAGCAGAGGTATATGTAAATTAATTTGGAAATATCTATTAATATGTTAAAATTAATTAATACTAGGAACTAAAATGGGTTTAAGTAATTGTTCACTGAAATTTTTCTATAGTTTATTAAAATATATTGTAATACAAACTTAATAAAACAAATTATTTTGGAGAAATACTCAAAAATTTTCAATCTTTAAATAAATAAGTTAAACTTATCAGCCTTATAAGAACACTAGCCTTTTCTTCTTAAAACTTTTATCACAACAAATCTTTGTAAAGGAACAGTACAATGGCATTACAATTGCATTGTTGGCATAAGCGTAAATCATTACAGATTTCAAACATTATGCTACAGATATGTTTGTCAGGAAGAATTAAAAAGTTTAAAAATAATGAAAGTTTAAATAAAATATAAGAACTTGTTTATCATTTTAAGAGTCAAGGTCAATATAAAAGGAAGAAACCTAATTATATTATTATTGCAATCTTTTCAAGAGTTTTCATTAAAAAAAAAAATCAGAGAAAAATATCTTAACACACAAGCAATAACAACCTAAAATAAAATTTTAAGCATGCACTTGTGCTTGATGACGTTTAAATATAAAATATTACAAATTATTTCCTAATAGAAAACTCTAGAAATAAAAAAAAATGTATGCTTTTGTAAAATTATTCATAACTTTATAAATAGCTTAGATATTGCCACATGAAATATCTACTGATAGCAGAGAGTAATGATCTTTCTAAGTTACTTGTGATTTTGGTCCCAAAATGAAAAAAAAAAAAATCGGCTTAGCTTGTCAGCCTTAGAGAAAATTGATGTTATTTTAAATCCCAACTATCTTGAAACGAAAGTATGAAAATTTTGAGAGGAGAGATTAATTTTTTCTGAGTTGATTACTTAGGATTATTATTTATTAAACAAAAACAAAAGAAAAAAGGACAACAGTAGTAAAAGGAGTTGATATGACCTAAATCACTTTCAACAGCCAAATTTTTACCTACTTTATTGAGGCTGGGTGTGACCCAGGAGGGTCTCCTAAGCTGAAGATCAACTCTGCTGAAACAGGATAAATAATTACCTGTCACACTACTTGAACCCAGGACTCCAGCTAGGAGTATAGTGCTTTACTCACTGAGCTACCCCGCTCGATATCCAAAAATATTATCTATTATTATTTATTTTTTTGGAATATTTCAGTTTTATCCATCTTATCACAAGTTATATTAATAATGCATTGATTTTGGTATATCATTTTTTAAACATGTATCATTAGTTATTGTTACGGGGGAACTTAGCTGGCGGTAGAATAGACAATCTCTAATAAAAAACTTTACCTGTAAGATAAGAGATGGTTTCATCATTTAGAATATGCCATTAAAAATATATATAGTTTGTGTATGATACTAAGCTTAAAATCATTTATGTAAATTTAAACTAATATGAAATAAATAATCAGATTCTATGACTCTTAAAATTAAGAGAAAAAGCTAGATGTTTCAGAAAGAAAAAAATATATACATATTTATAAATATACAAATGAAAAGTACATTATCAATTAATCCCAGCCAACCCCTTTATAGATGTAGAGCTGATTGTTGCAATACCGTGCGTATCTTTCAGCTTGATATGGCGTGATACACTCATCAATGGAATACATTTTTTTGACATAATTGGCATAAAAATCTAGAGATTTCTTTGTAACGACAGGTGCTTGAGTCTACAAATAATAAAAAAAAAAAATTAAACACTTAAAATAAACATGATGAAAAGTACTTAAGAGGAAATAATTAAGAAAAATTGGCATTATATATGGATCAGACTATTTTATAGAGGATTAGTTTATTAAAATTTATTTAATTGTGCATTTACATAATGAGTTTAATAAAAATTGTTAGAACCATAATCAAATGTTGTCAACAATATAAAATGGCATTTTCAATAAGCCAATTTTAGTTAAAAAGTTGTTGTAACATTCCATGCACACCGTAAATAGGTAATATTAGTTTCCAACAACTTTTCAATTATAAACAAAGTTATTCACACACAGGCGGATCTCCGCAGAGGGTGGGGGAGAGGCTTTTGAGCTGAAGCCTCCCCTCTCTAAAACGGTATAATATAAACATGTCTCATGAAAAAAAAAAATTATCTCTAAAAGTATTATTGTTACAATTACAGACTCATAAAATACCTGTAAAGTTGAATCTATAAATTCTGTCATTGGTTTAAGACTATGAGCTAAAGGTTTATTTGTTCCTTCTTTGGTACGTATAGACTGCCTTCCAATTACAACATACCTGTAACAAATTTAAATCACTACTTTAAAAATTATTACAGGTTTACCTAATAAACATTTATTTAAATTCTAGTAAATATGAAACATTTGTTCTCCATTTTATTTTTAAACAATCAATAGTTTGAATAAGCAGATAAAAGAAAACAAATTAAAGACAATTCGCTACACAACTACGCTTATTATTTAATTCATCATATATTATTTTCCTATCAACAATATAATAATTTTAATGTTTTAGGACTACTATCTGGTCTCAGCTTAGCCTTGATAAAGACCTGAAACGTTGGTCAGAAGAAAATAAGTATAATTTATTATTGTGTACTTCCAATGCCTGCGATCTCCAACCAACCTTCTCTTCAACAATAAAAAACTATTAGTTTTTTTTCATTTTCAAGGATGAATTTTAAATAAATGGATTTATAACAGCATTAGATTTCGACAACCATATTAAAGACAGTTGAGTACTTTTAAAAAGTAAACCATCAGAGGAATAACGAAAATTAATTAATGTAAAACGAGAAAATTCAAAATGATCTAATATTGTTTTATAATAGAATACCTTTTATAAATTTGCATATCCTGAGAAGAAATTGGTTTTAATGCAAATATATTTCCCTGTGATGATCTAGCAGACTCTGTGCTCCCTTTAGCTGGTGAAGAAGATTGCCGAGATTCTGTTTTCACATCTTCATCATCACTTTCTTGACTGCATCTGAATTAATAATATTCTGTTAATAAAGTGGGACTTCCCTTAACAGACATTTACACAAACAGACATCTCTCATAAATTTAGTTTTATTTTCAGTGTTAATTTGGGGTCATACCATTTATTTTTTATGGAAGTAGTATCTTTTTTCAAAAAAGTCTTTAAACCAATATTAGGTGGAAAATTATTTGAAAGGTAGTCGGTTAATTCTTACAAACGATGCGGTATTTTCAAAATAATTTCTGAGTATTTTGTATGTTTCACTGTTTGTATCTAATCAAATCATTACCGTTTCAAAGAACCTTTTAATATTCCTCACCAATAGGGTACATGCTTCTGTTTGAATGACATTAGTTATCATAGGTAATAACAACTATATGCATTGCATTTTCTCGTGAGGTTTAATGCATCATGGGCTAAATACAGACTGTAACAATTTATTATAATGGTACCATAAAACATGTTTTTTAGTTTTGAAAAAAATAAAATGTTGAATGACAAAAGTAAGCATATGGTTTCTCGATTGCCACTTTATATAGAGAAAAAACAGGTGAACGATACTTTAAAACCTAAACACTAATTTTATAGCAAGTATATATATACATCTATATATATTTTTTTTACATATGGACAGATGTACAATTGTAAAAATAAAAAAAATTCAAACTCGTTCTACACCCTTAGCTACAATAATTAATTTCCTTTTTATACTCTTAAATTTTAGTCAGATTCATAATTAATTTTTTTTCCTTTCATAAGCATTAATTATCTTTCCTCAATGATGCCTGTTTACAAGAAAATCCATTTACCCAAAAGTAAAAAGCATTTAAAATTTTTAGACAAATCAAAAATATACTTTAAAAACTACATACCATTTGCACAAATATGATCCAGAAATAATTAAAAATAAATAAATATAAGGTCAATTTAATTATATATTTTACTTATTCTAAGTAACTATAACATACTCATCACTTGATGTGGCACTGGATGTCGAACTCTGTCCAGATACAGAAGGATTTTTAAAGCCTTTACCATTTTCTTCCCGTCTCCGTCCAGGGCCGACACGAACTGTGAATGGGCTATAATCTGTTACACAATTTGGCATAAAATCCCTGAAAATGATGTTTAAAAATTGTATTTAAAAATAAATGATTATAACTACACTTACAAACTAGGGATGGTTATATTTTCATTAATCAGTTTTGAAATTATTTTTAAGAAGTATGTTTTTATTTAAACTTCATTCATTTCTCTAACTGGAAGATACAACTATAAAAAAACTAATATAAACGCCTTTAAATAAAGTCAAAATATAGGCAACCATAGGCATAGTTATAAGAGTATCTTTGAAATTTGGTAATGAAGGTAATAAAGTGTTCATAATTTTGTGTACTTGGAGATGATGAATGGATAATAGGTTATCCTTTAGGAGATTATATTGCAGCTACCAAAGCTTAATAAAGCACTTCAAGGAAAGATTCCACACAAAGAAGAAAAAGTCAAACCTCTATAAAATAACTGTACAGTCAAAGTTAACATTTGGCTCCAGGAATTTAACAAATGACGACTTTCTGGGACAAACGAGAGCATATTTTTGGGATGTGAAGAGAAAGGACTCTGTGAAGTAATGAGAAAGGAAATATTTGAATGAAGAAAGAGAAGTAGCATGGCAGATATTAGATGATAAGGAATTTCAGAAAGCAGTGGATCAGGGAAGAAAGGAACGTTTAAAAGCTTTAGCTATGTGAGAAGGAATGTAGAGGTCTAAAATATGAGATATTGTTTTTTGAGAGTAGACCAAAGGTTTGAATTGTTTAAGACTGTAGATGTCGGAAAGATGCCAGGAGTTGACAGTTCGGTATAAAAGCGTCCTAGAAAATATAGTTAATGGGAAAGGGAAGAGTCAATTAAATTCACCAAGGAGGTGAAACACATGAGATCACCTTGATGGGCCCAAGACATCTCAGTGAGCTATAGAGTACAATCGAGAAACCTCTGTAAAACACACAGCCATGGTCAAAATGAGAGGAAATGAGTGATGATACAAGGAATTAGTATGTAGGTTATTGGAGATGGCGTGAGCAATGGAATAATTTGAGTGAACCTGCTGACCATCGCCAAATATTGGTGATATGGTCTTTCCAGGACAAGTATATTCTGAAATGAGACCACCAAATGCATTTGTCTTCAATATCCATCAAATATGTTGTATAATATTATATTTAATTTTATTAATTTAGTTCAAATCAAGACTAAAATGAGTTTTTTACCTCACACTATGACTGATGGTGGCTGGAAAGATTTCTGTGAGAGCAGTAAATTCATGAATCCTATGAAAATCAGAATAGACATCAATGGATGTTGGGTTTGAAAGAGGCTTAACATCTGCTTCTCTTTCCAAGTATTCCCTAGACAAGGAAGTAACATTCCTTTCTCCCCACCACTGAGTTAAAGGCAATCTGAAAAAAGTATTGAACTATAACATAATATATCAATTTAATGAAAAATTATAAATAACAAAACAATACCTGTTCTCTTCTAATGGAAGAAGGGTTATCGTTTCTGGATGATGAAGATAATAATCAGTTATTTGTTCCCATATAGGCGATTGGTTATCATAAGGTATGAACAAACCAAGAAACAGGTTCATAGCATGCTGTTTTTCAAAATCTATATTAAAACAATTTTAATAGAAATAAAATAAGATTGTAAATATAAAAATAATTCCATTAGAAATATTTTTTCAATCAAATGTTCAACATAGAAGAGCATGAAACTTATTATACATGCTGCTATATTAAAAGCCAGAATAATAAATTTAAAGCACAAACTAATCAACAAACTCATTCTCTGTCTGTTGTTAAAAATTTGAGAGTTTGACCAAATAAAGATTTTTTTATTTTTATTAATTTATAGAAAATCATTAAAGATGACCCAAAGAACTATTGTGATGAAAGTAACATAGAATATCATTCCATGAATCTTCAATGACATGGCATTATCATGAAATTGAGTTGTAATAAAATCCCGATTTCTTAAACATGTAGCAGATTGTTATTCAGCTGAGTCCTTCAATTAGTTGCTGTATTGAAGAGAAATTATAGCATAAGGAAAATCTTTAAACTTCAATATCACTTCAATCCATCAACGGCCTAAGGTTTAATACTTTGTAAGGAAGTACTGTTTCTGGGTCAACGGTTGAGCAAGGAGGTGAAATGGTCGAGATCTGTAAGATCCAGAGACAACGGCCAGGTTTTCCCCTTAATTAATTAATTTAGAGAACCTAATTTTTAGAGGCAGGGAGTGCCTCAGGAAGATCTCACTGTTTGGCTTAAGCAACAGAATAAATAATTACCACAGTCAGACTCGAGCCCATGACAGACAGAGCAGGAGCCCAGTGCTTTACTCACCGAGATACTCTGCTCCCATATTAATGATTGAACAAGTAAACACTTTAATAAAAGATAGAGCAAGAAGTGTCGGGTAAGAAAGAACACAGAACAAGGATGAGTTTGTTAGAGAGAGAGCGAGAGGTAGACAAAGACTGTTCAGTGAAGTTTGAGGAAGGAGGTATTTGATGTCTTTCTTTTTAATATTTTATTCACTTATAGCGAATTGATATTGCGAAAATCAAATTATCAGACTAAAAATTAAAAACGTTCAAATGACTAACTGTTTTTCATACATAATTCCTAATTATTTCCACAGACTAACACTTCACGTGGACATCCTGGCCATAAAAAAATTCAAGGCCACTACAACCAAAGAATTATTAATACAGTGGATTGATGAAGAAGTTAAAATTGCTGGACCATTAAGAACAATACAAATTAAACAAGACAAATTCTTGATGTAAACAATAAAAAAAAAAAACTTATCTTCCAATAATTACCTGAAAATGTGTTGCTATAGTACCGACTTAAAGTCTGCATAATATCATTTCCTTGTGAAGTCCAAGGTGCAGTTTTTCTATATGTCTTTATTCTGTGAACCAACTGTGAGCCGCCATACTGCAGTGCCAGAGTATCACCATGGTCTTCATATAATACTTCAAGCAGTCTTATACAATCAGTATCATACTTCAGTTCAAGTGTTTCAAGTAATCCAAGAGTTTCAAGCTAAAAACATATTGAAATAAAAAAGGTAATTATTATGTAAGTTAAAATTTTTTTATTCATACTCTGGAATACCAACTTGCTTCGCTAAAGCACATTTTCCAAGTGCAAATTGTGCAGTATTTGTCCTATCAAGGCAATCAACACAGTTAACTCTTATAACACCAGTCTGCAATCTTTTAGTAAATGTACAAAATACGCCAACCTTTGCTAAAGCATTTTCACCAATTCTAGCTAATCGACCCATAACATTTGCGACTTTTCTATAAAATAAATAAAGAATTCCATTATTTAAAAATATCAGCTTCTATTGGAAACAATGTGTAATCACCATACCAAGTAGAAAAGAATAATCATGAAGTATAATCCAAAAACATAGCCAGTAAAAACAGAGTACAAGGAAATTTTTTTTTACTTCACCACAGTTATTTCATTTTTACATCGGCTAGTAAGCCATTTTCAAGCCATGTTTTTACATATTTATCATTTAAATTGATAAAAGTTTTAACTACATCATAAAACAAATAAGCACATATGGATTCAGATATGACCAATCAGAGACTAAATGGGTTAAGGATTAAGGAAATTTGGAAGTCATTTAAAGAAGACTTAAGCACTATTAGTGGATTAATGAATGATGTAGTTAAAACTTTTATCAATTTAAGTGATAAATATATAAAATGTGGCTTGACAATGGCTTACTAGCCGAAACGCAGCCAATGTAAAAATAAAATCAATGTGGTGAAGTAAAAACACAGCCTTATTTTATAATATTATATATATTAGAAAGCTTTTGCATGTTCCAAATGAGTTCTTTCTAAAGTCCCTGAAAATGAAATTCTGAGAATGGCTGAGAGTGTCCAGAAGTAAATGGAAGTGATTGAATTTTCTAGTATGTCCCGACTTCAACTTAAAAGAACCTGTTGGAGATTTGTTTTCCCTTTTAGAGCAAGCACAGCTCAATAGACTTTTAGAGAAGCTAACTATGAGAAAGTCAGAGGCAATGGTGTTTTTAAAGCTATTAACTGATCAGCTCCTGTTATTATATTAAGTCCCGATTTTAACTGATAAGGACCAGTTGAGAGTTTTCGGAAGTCATAAATTTCAATCTAAATAAATTGAGGTTATACCATGAACACTTTATCAATTCTTGGGCATCCTCAGAATCCCATTTATATTGTGATCATGAGAGTACACTATCATCAAGATTTCATCATGAGATCGTCAAAGTCAGCAACACTAGTATGGTAGTAGTACCTTTTATACAAATTAGTTTTTGGTTTACTACTGATTAGATAAATTGGAAAAAAATTCTATGACTTATCTAACAGTTACATCTTGTATCTCACCCTTTATTTTTCCGAGCCATGTCGAAAGTGACATACTGAATTTGATGTTCAGGTGACAAGAATTGATTGAGATACTTAATGTCAGAGCTATATTGAATGCTTAGTGTAGACTCGTGCTTCTTTTTTTCTTTCTGCTTTACAAGATTCAAAGCTATTATTGGAGACCCATAACGGTCAAATAATTGTTTGAAATGCCTCCCTAAAAAAAGACAATTGTTCAAGTAATAACCATAAAAAAAATTGAATATTTGATTCAATCACAAGTAAATTATTAAATTTTGTAATCTGTGAATGTGAAAGTGTATATAACAGTGAAAATTGTAAAAACCACAGTTATTATTTAATGTAAAATGAAACTGTTTTAACTTTACTCCTTTATTCTTCTAAGGGAAAATGTTTATTTATTTATTGTCATAGAAGATCAAACTTGTCCCAGGTGTTATGTATCAAACATTAAAAAAAAATTTTCTCTTGTTTTCTTTCCTTAAGGTTTCATTCTCAAATGATTTGTTTTTTAAAGTTATTTATATTGTATCAGTTACCTAGGCATAATATGGCTGGCATATAACTTTATCTATAAACATTCAAGTAATCTCTTGGACAAGGAATGATCTTATATTATAATCTTTAAGATTTGTAGCTTTAAATTACTTTTTGAAAGTAAATACAATTAAAAAAAATAATAATAAACAAGGAAATAAGTTTGAAACATTCAATCTAAACTATTATACCATGAGTTTCCAACATCCAAGTGAATAGTTAAGTTGTCTAGTTGACAGTTAACAGTTAGATGGTAAGTTGACTGTTTATTTGTATGTTAGAGACTCGTGGCTTTAGGCGCAGTTGGATTGTACCATTCATAATGTCTCTTTTTGCTTATTTGACATGTTTGAAACTTTATCCATTACTAATATTTTAAATAAAATCAACTAGTATTTAAATATTAGGGTTATTATAGGAAAAATTCCAAACCATACATCCTTATGTCCGTCCCCAAAATGCAGGCAAATAAAAACCCGTCCACGTTTCGCCAATTCAGGCATCATCAGGATAGAAAAGAACAGCTAATCAAACACCACTCTATGAAATCCAATCGCATACTGCTGAAGACCTTTTGGAGACATTAGGCTGTGTGGTTTGGAATTTTTCCAATAACAACCTAACATTTATGTTATGTCTCTAGATTATTTTATTATTAATTTATAATAGTAATATTTAAAAATATAAAATTTTACCTGGAGTTATCACAAAAGGATCACTAAGATCGTAGGCAATTGTAGGCTTGGGAACAATTTTAGCAATGTCTTGACTCCAATGACCAGGAATACTCCCTCTCATTTGCACAAAACTAGATATCCTAGGACAAACATGCCAACTGCTAACACCCATATCTTCCACTACCTGTTCAGTTTCAACCTCATTTGCAACATCTCCCTAAAATATATTTATTGCAGTGTTATTAGCTAATAAATATATTTATTAAAAAAAATATTTAGTTTTAATATTTATCCATTAGTTCATAATCATGAAAATAGTGATTTTAAAATTATTTCAATAATTTTCCTCAAAATATAGGTAGATCATCACACATAGTTTACAAAACATGATTTTATCATGAGTAACACTTTATCGGAAAACTAAAATTATTTTAATATATGAACTACTTAATTATCATAGCTTATAATACCCAATTATTTGATTTATCAAAGAAGAAAATAAATTTTAAAAAGAAGAATCACTCACATTTGTATTGGCACCCCTTTTTAGAAATCTTGTTCCTGCATATTTGTTTGATCTTCTGGCAATAAGAGTTACATAGACAGAACGCCCAAATATATTAAGGTTAGATTGGCTTATAAACCCATGGATGATATAAATAATCCAGTCACGGTGTATAACATCCTTTATCTTTGACAAGAGGTACAAATTCCAAACAAATTTAAGGTTCGGAGATGAATATAATTCATAATCTGTTTGATTTTGGTATCTTTCTTTCTTAAAATTCCTATAATTATAATTAGATATAATAAAAGCAAAATTTATAAGTCATCAGGCATGTTAAAATACAAAATAAAACGAGTCTTTTCACATTTAAATGATCTGCCAGTTCACCCAGCTAATGTTAAACATCTATTAAGAAGCTTAAGTTTAGATTTTATTTTTAAATTGAAATAAAAATAAAGTATAATAAAATTATGATTTTTTTTACTTTCCTACGTATACTAGCTTTTATTAATAAGCATGTATCAAGTTTTGCAGTGTCTAAAGTAAAATAGCTTACTGGATATCATTATTTCCACAATTTTGTAATGTTTTCGGTACAGCCATATTCACTTGAAGTGTGTGAGTAATATCATAACTATAACTGAAAAAAAAAACACATAAAAGAATAATTGGTTATTCAAAGAAATTTCCTTTTTATTTATTTATAAAAGCAGAGAGATATATATTTATAAATTTACTATACACACATGGTTTAGTAAATTTTGAATTATTTTACAAATCTAATGATTATAAAAAATATTAAGAAATTTTCAAACCAGTTGTCTTTTAATACCTGAAGTAGAAATTACTAGAAAGGTCAATGCTTTGAAACATTTTGACATATCTAGCTTCATCAGGATGTGAAGTACGAGACGATTCATTGGGTATGTAAATCATTGTTGTATCTTCAATTTTATAAATATAATGAAGACCCAAAGCAGCGACTCTCCTTCTTTTTGTTATAAGTAAAAGGTAATAACCTTCTAAAAATCTCACAAAACCTATTAATATGGAAAAAGAAAAGTAAAAATACATTACAAACTTGAATGATAAATAATGCTTCCAAGAAGAAAAACTCAAATCATACCAACAATGCCAAAGGCACTTTTTGCAACGACACCTCGAGCTCGAGTTGCAATAAAATTTTGAATATCAGATTGAGTATATTCTTCTCCATCATCTATTACAACTAAATCCTTAGATTCTTTTCTGTCTATTTTCAGAAGTCTAAATAGATTCAGACTATTGTTTGATCCAACTACGTAAACCCACTGTAGAAAAATAAAATTACCATTAATTTATTGAAAAAAATAAATGAAACTAATAAATAAATAACTTTTATTACATCTTTTAATTCATAAATTGCTATTTTCTGAAGAGTATTGAGAACAGGATACAAACTAAGTTGAGATTCCGACTGTACAGTCATAATTAATGTCCAATTAAAACAATAAATAATTGCATAAAAAAACAAACCAACAGCCCCAATATTTATTTGGAAATGTTATTGATAAGAGCTGTCAAAAGTAAACAAACCATAACCTCTCTATAAGTTTGCTTTTAACAGTGTTGCGGTAGTTAGCTTTTGGTTTAATAATTGTTTAAAATTAAGTGTTGGTAGCCAATGATTTTCTTTCAAAAATGTTATAAAATTATGTAAAAATGTACAAACTTGTTTTTATATGTAAATATTAGTTAAATTTATTTTTGGTTCAAATGATCAACAAAATTTTCCTTTTGGTGTTCAAGGAGTTTGTCTACAAAAATTAAATTATGAATGGGGCGAAATAAGTTCGATAAGCATTAAAACTATCTTACGAATGACGAATGTCAAAATTTAATAAGAAATACCTAAGATCTCCAATGAGAGGGGTAGCTACCGAACCCATTGTACAGAGGCCTGTAGGTTCAAGGGGCCATTACAATTTATATGGTTTTGTAATCACTGTTTTTTTATGTAGTTAAAATGTAAATACTTAGTATCACATAAATTGATGATATAAAATATCACAAACACATGGACGAGGACTAATACTATCCTGACTAAAGATCGTCTCAGTTCCGTGGGTCGCATTGAGACTTCCAACCAAGCCCCGAGGGCCATGGTTTGTGATGAAAAAAAAGCCCTATAAATGACACTTGACGCTTTGAAATGAGCTTTCTAACAGAAAAACCCCACGCAATAAATCTCATAGTAACCTCGTGTGTGAGTAATTTGCTAAATTTCACATTTTTACGTAGTTTTTTAAATTTCACCATGTAACCCAAGAAACCTTAGCTGGCCAAATTGAAAGTGCTTGCGGGATGCATGCTGCCGGACCCTGCCCGCGGGCCGTAGTTTGGGAGACCCCTTGTCTAGACAACATAAAGGAAAAGATCTGGTGCGCGCAATACACAACTTTCACTCACCGCTCTACTTTGAATAGAAATTATTTTCTGACAATGTTGAGCTATTATAATATTTTTTTTTAAAGTACATTTTTAACGGCGCTACAGCTAAAGTTACGCTTAAAGCTTACAGCTAAAAAACGCACACGCACACACACACAATTTTGCGGGACTTGGTAACATGTGTTGTCATTGGCTTGCATTTATCTAATATTGTTTTTTTTTCTATTTTGGTAATTTCTGAATTGACAAAACGTTGACTGAGAGGCCGTGAGAATTATAAGGCTCGGGCGGATATACGGGGAGGAGGGGGGGGGACTTTCGTGCTGAAGTCTCTCCCCAAAATGGTAAAATATAACCATGTTTTATCGAAAAAAAATTATCTCTTAAAGTATAATTGTTCATTTAATTACATCTAAAAGGGCTTTAGGAATTACTTAAACACCAGTTCAGATAGGTAGTTAGTTTCTTTCTTAGTTTCCAAAGTAATTATCATTATTTTCATGAAAAAAAAGCTTTCGGGCTGAACTCCCCCCAAATTAAATCCTGGATCCGCTAGTGTTATAAGGCGTCATAAGCTTAACAATCTCGAGTCTAGCTGCGCCGGTTCGCATTTGGCCTAAACGGATTGAAATCTATTTCGTCGCGGACCCACGCATAGTTCAGTAATTTTCTGATATTTTAGAAATTTAATGCTTTGTTTGAAACTTTGACTTCCAGTTAGAAGTAAATTGCAAGATTCCAATTATTGCCTGATGAGAAGGGAAATTAACTATATCACCTCCTTTAACTACAGCTTCGTTTTGGTGACGTCACTACCTCTGAATGGAAAATCTGGGTATTCCGCTTTAGTTCGCACTCGATCCTGCTTGTTAAGGAAGGCTTCCGGGAGGAAATTTTATCAGGTACCTCTCGATATTCCTCCATATTGAACAGTATTCTATTTCTTATATTTGCACTTACATTAGGCTAGGGGTCGATAAACTTTACCCAGCCTGGTGACATTTAGATTATTTTTAATTGTCTTTATTCGATTTTTATAAAAAGTGCCCTCTTGTCCATGCCCCCAAGGCAATCGCCTGGTTAATCCATTGACGCGACAGCCATATTTCCAACTTACAATTATAAGGATGGTAGTCTGTCTCTTATATTAAGCAAGCTAAACTCTACGGCTTTCGTTTGCCTAAGCCTCTTATCATTTTAACTATCACTAATAATTTAGTTAATAGAATTAATGTTGTTGATGTCTCGGTTCCGAATAAGCAACTTTTTGGTATTATGTAATATTTTAATCAGGTAAGTAGGTACTAAAACTGAAATTTCTCCAAAATTAAAAAAAAACATTTTATTCACAATGTGAGCTTGAATAATAATCAGATCGACGTTTCATGCAATGGCCGGATCTCGTGGCCGATGTAACTGAAAGATAAGTTCATTGGCAGGCCTTGATCGAACTCGTCAAGCCCAGTTGATTCGATGCTTTTGTCTATCACACCTTCTTCAAAAATTATCAGAAGTTACATTTTTCTAATTAATTAAATAATTATTTCTCTTTTAGGCTACCGTAACAAGATATTAATTATAATTTCGAATTAAAAATGCCAGAGTTAAAGTATTGCGTGGAAGTAATTGAAGCATACAAGTTTTATAACAGGAAGGCTGCATTGAATAAGTTTTCAATGAAAGTTGAAGAAGGAACTGTGTAAGTTTTAATCTTTCTTCCTCAATTTATCTCACTTTTTTTTTTTTTAATTTTAAATAATTAAAGTATAGTGGATGGTAAACTGAGCACAGGAGTGAGAAGAGATGGAAAATAACATTTACACAAAATTAATCGATATTTCTCGAAGCAAAAAAAAATTAGAAAGAAAATATACGTTATATAGACAATATAGAATATATAGACAATATACGTTTTATATTGTGAGTGATTTTTCCAAAACATAAATACTTAGAAATAATAATAAAAAAAGTACGGTGTGTACTGAATACATCACAATAGAAGTGAAAACATCAACAACGCAAGATTAATAATATGAATTATTAATTTGTTTTTTGTGCTATGTTCATACAAAGTAATAACATTTACAATTTATAGAATTACAATTGTGTATAAACTATTTTTTGTTCTAATATAAAATAAGGCCGTGTTTTGTATTTATTCACCACTTATATTTCAATTTACTTCGGCTAGCAAGCCATTTTCAAGTCCTATCATTCTGTAATCCACTAATAATGTTTAATTCTTCTTTAAATGACTTCCAACTCTCCCTAATCTTCGAACCATTCAGTCTTTGATTGATCATGTTCAAATCCATATGTGCTTATTTGTTTTAGGTGAAGTATTTATAATAATATAAAATAAGGCTGTTTTTTGTTATTTCTTCAACACATTTATTTCAATTTACATTAGTGGTTTACAGAATGATATGGCTTGAAAATGGCTTATTAGCAGAAACGTAGCCGATGTAAATTGAAATAAATGTGGTGAAGAAATAACAAAACACATTCTCATTTCATAGTATTATAAATAATTTACCTGAAACAAATAAGCACATATGTATTTTTTGTTCTATATTCACAAAGTAATAACATTTACAAAATATACAATTATAATTATGTATAAATTATAGTGGTAAAATTTGCTCTGACTTACCGTCATTTGTATCATACTCTAAATAGGTTAACGGTGTTATGAATATTCTTCAATCCTAGCCATGCTGTTCTTTTTGGAAGTATAGAGTTCGTCACTACTTTAAGCGTATTGAATTTCAGCATCGGGGTAGTCCTCATACTCACTTAGCTTTTTTAGCATTATCTTTTTCTATTTCCGACTCTTTAACTCGGCGTCACATCAAAATTTTGAATTATAGTTCGTTACAAAGAGGACGAAATGCTAAAAATTTCCCTCGCTTACAGTATATTGGTTTAAATTTTAGTTTTTGAGATATTTTAATCCAAATGTTCAAAAAAACTTATCATTTGCTTTTTTACACTATGTTTTCCCTTTTTGTCTCTTCTACACAGCGTCTAGTGAAGATACAATTTTGAATAATACGTCATTACAAAGAGTACGAAACGCTGAATATTTCCCTCTCTAAAAGTATGCAAGTCCAAATTTTAGTTTTTGAGATATTTTAATGCAAATGATAAAAATAGTCCATTCGAGCCGGCTTCACCCGAATGATCGTTGTATAGCCGAGCGTAATGGCTCAGCCTCATTCAGTACCCACAAAATAAAGTGCAAAGCGTATCTAAAGAATTTTATTCTTCAAAAACTCCTGAAAAGCAAATCACTATCACTTACTCCTCGTTTTTATCAGGTACATAAGAATATACGCATAAACTTCACTAAAATTATAATTTTATTTTAAACTAAATAGAATAATCGAATAAAAACACGTCTGAAAATTATTTTAAGTTTAAAACTAATTTAATCTCCCATTACCACATGCTTACTATCATATCTCTATATCTAGTCTACCATATTTCAGAGCCATCATACTCTTAACAATTACATGAATTATAATTGTTAAATGGAAATTGATACCAGACTGTTTGTACATTATTCCCAAAATTCCTCCATCTTGGGTCAAATACAATGAGTCATTTTTTAATTATAGTTATGGCATCATAAAATACATTTGAGCATCTGTAAGCGAAAATAGCGGATGAAATTGAATAATATTTATTTTGATAACGTTTTCACTAATTTATAACTTTCTTCCAACTTTTTGTTGTTAAAAGATTAACTTAAATACATTCGAGAATTACGTTTCAAAAACAAGAAAATCTATCCGTGGTTCTCAAATCTTCTTTTGTTAAATTGTAAGTTGGAATACCTTTATAAATATGTTATTAATATTTTTAGCCGATATTAATTACACGTGCGATTTAAAACGTTTACTTTTCTTGGAATCATTATGTTTATTACTTCTCTTTCAGCAATTTTCTGGTCATTTTTCTAAAACTAAATTCAAGAGTAAAGTATTCTGAATGAAAATCCCATTTTTTTTTTTTTTTTGGAACTATTGAAGTGTAATTTGCACATTATCATACAATTTATTTTATAACTTATAAAATCTTGATGTATTTTAGTATTTTAAACTATTTTTATCGATCTCAGTGATCCCCGAAACATTAAAATCAATCATAATATAATTTTATCCACTAAAATCAGAAATTTTGCATACTGTGGTGCAGAGGTCCCCAGAAGGTGTTATCGTCGTGCAATTAAAAATTTTAAGGGGGCACATTTCGTTAGGGTTATGAATTTCGAGGATAAAAAGTTTTTAACAAAAAGACCAGAGGAAGCATGGAACAGACCGCAGGAAATTTAATAGTATTCAATATGCTATTTTTCTAATTATAATTTTGCTTGAACTGTTTAAGAAGAGGTGAGCAATAAAATATTTTGAGAGAGCAGAGGTGCCCCATTTTCCTTTTGCTGAAGGGTGAACATCCCTCTCCTGTGTATATATATATATATATATAAGTGGTTTTTTCCTATCCTAGTATTTTTGTTTATCATTTTTGATGTTTTTCGACTGCTTTCGGTGACAAGAGAAATAAAATAAATAGATTGATTTAGAGCTAATGTCGCTTTTATTTAAGTTAGACAATTGTGTTTTTCATAGTTTGTGAATTGTCTTAACGTATCTTTAATGCTCCATTGTATTCAAAATCCTTTCTGTTTCAAGCTAATCAGTAACAATTTCTGGATAGTGACAACAGCTAAAAGATTTTAAGAGCTGAATAATTTTAAATTGGAAAGTAGATAGTGAGTCTTTTAAACAATAAGATATATATAAATGAAAAAAAAAAACTCGTCTGCCATTCGAGGACCATCTTGGACATAGATCCGTGTCATTTGCCACCTTATCACCTGTTGCTGTTCATCTTGTAACAGTTATTATATCTGAATTTTAAAAAAAAATACCTTTGAAGTAAATCAATATATATAAAAAAAATAAATAAAAATACGATTAAATTCCACAATACAAGTATTACATTTCCATTTAAAAAAACAAACTTCAAATTATTACAGATACGCCTTACTTGGTCCAAGCGGCTGTGGCAAAACGACACTCTTGGGTGCTTTAGTGGATAGGGTCCAACTTGATTCTGGCTTAATTAAAATGGCAACCAAATCCACCTCTGAGATAGGCTACATGCCCCAAGTGAGTATGGTTCTACCATTATTAACGAATAAAAACTAATATTATTTCATTACATTAGTGTAATTTCATTCATTACATTAGTATTTAATAGCTTCTTGTGTCTGAAATGTATTTGCGAAGGGTCGAGACTAGTGAAAGGAGGAGAGGGGTGCAAAAGAACTTTTCCCATATGACAGAGCTTAGGGGTCGGAAATATTTGAGCGAAATTTCATTTTTAGATTAATTAAAAATATATATTTATTTTTGCCTTTTTTTTTTTTTTTTTTACATTCACTTACCTGTATATGAAATATATAGTAAGGTACAGTATTGCGATCGTGAAAATTTTCGAATCCGAGTTTTCAACGGAAATACATGTTTTGAGGTCTCCCGAGTCCAGCTATAAAACAAAAAGTCGTATGAAAGTGAAATTGCTCATTTGAGGTATGTATATACCTCAGATGTTACATCAACATTTTCGTTAAAATCGGCTAACCGGAAGTGGCACTTTATGTCATCGATGAAACACATTTTTACGATTTACTGAAAAACGGCTTCAACGATTTTGATCAAACTCGGTATATCAATGTAAAATTAAGAATTTTTTAATTATTGTTTAGGTTTTATTCTCATTCATTTTCTCTAACAGGGCTTAAATGGTTATTTTTCAATATTAGCTTCATCTAAAGTACCTTTAATTTTTTATTTGAAACAATTAACCATTTCACATTGATCTTTAATATAAAAAACAGACAAATATAAAATATGACAGAATTTGATAATTAACTAAAGGAGAAATAAGAGATCGTAACTGAGGATGGTTGTAATGAAGGAACCAAAGGGATATGAGAGCACGCCCAAAGATTAGAACAGGCTTCCTTCCATACTAACATGAGCTTAATATAATACAGACTTCGACAATATTATGTACATATACATATTCCTAAATGTTTTTGTTGGTATTATTTAATATTTAATTGTATAGATTACAGCGATATAAATATTAAAATTTGTATATATAAGGGTACTTAAACAAATAAAAATATCCAAAATGAAATATGAATCAATACAGCGTTTATAATTTTTACTTTCACTTCCCCTTTGCCTGAAAATACTTATTTCTGCTATCCATAGTCTTTTATATTTATATGATTTATCTCTTTTCAACCATCCTGTCTTTATGTCAATTCCATCTTAACAGATATTTCCATTAGTGTCGTTGATATTCATTTTTCATTACTTTTGTTGTGCCACTCATCATCATGAAAATAATTGATCACTTCCTTAAAATAAGAAAGATTATAGTTATCATTGGGTAAAGAGAAAGATTTTAGTTATCATCGGAAAAGGATTTATTTAAAATGCTCGATGGAAAATGAACATTTAAAATAATGTCTATGAATAATAATTTAATATTAAAAAATACATTATGAAATAACCATTTGCATAGAATTTTATTAATAAATTGAAAAACTATCTATATGTGGTGTTGGTGGTTATGGAATTAAGAGACTGGTATTGTAAACATTTTATTTTTGTTTCATACATATATAATTATTATCACCTTCAATATACATTACTCCTTTAAAAAAATAACTCTCCATGCAAACCTTCTGGTGTTTGAAACAGAGCTAGAAGTCAGGCTCTTCTTCAGCCTGCACCTTAATGACGCATGCTTCTTTCTCTTTTAGCAAGAACGTGAATACAGTAGTGCTTATTTATAGTTTGCTCTCCAGGAACCTAATGAAGGTGCACAATCCCATGAATTTCGAAAAAAACAATCATCATATATCTTGGAATTTTGACTGTCTCGTTTGAGTTTCTTTTAGCAATTGGTGAAGTTGGGCTCTTTCAGTGAATGGATCGGTGCTTCATTGCAGAATCAAAAGGAAAAAATCACAATTTGTCAGTATGAATTAAAAGGAGCCAGATTTGAGTTCGTTGTAGCTGTGAAAGAGAAAACGGCACGCGTCCTGACTGAAGAAGACGCCGAGCACTAGCGGATCCAGGTTTTTTTGGGGAGGGGAGAGGCTTCAGCCCGAAAGCTTTTATATATAACGATAATTACTTTGGAAAAAAAGAAAAAGAAAGATATTAACTACCTTTATGAAATGGTGTTTAAGCGATTCTGGAAGTCCTATTAAATGTAATTAGACGAACAATAATAGTTTTTTTGGGGGGTCCTCCTCTTCCTCGTCGTTAAGGCTATACGGGTTTTTCCCGGGCCAGGGGGTGTGGACGGAGATTAAAAGACGCCTTGGCACCGGGATGCGAACTCGTGACTATTTTTATAACATATATATATATCATGACTGATTTTTTTTGTTACTTTTGTGATTTTTTTTATTGATTTTATTGATAGGAGGTAGCACTTTACCCAGAATTCAGCCTTAAAGAACACCTAATGTACTATGGACGAATATATTCCATGACAACTGTGGCAATATTAAGCAAATCGGAAGAGTTGAGAGAGTTTCTGCATCTGCCACCTTTGAACACTATAATAAAGAACATGAGGTAATATTTTAAAATACGATTTTAAGATTAATTTGAGTTTTGTTATTTGTAAGTAATTTTTGTTAATTCGATCCATAAATAATAAAATATTAAGGTTTTCCTTTTTTTTCCGCACATAATTGGAAATGGAATTCCTGATAGTATAACTTACTATTTAGCTATTTGCGATCTTATTATCCTGTAAATCAGAGGATTTAGAAGGGGGATGGCTTGACCATGTTGCTCCATGGAACATTTGAGGGTGGCATATTTGTATCAGGGTATAGATTTTTTAAGTTAATTTTTATGATTCTACTATACCACTTCTTTTTATGAACATAGAGCAACAAAATTTCTTGGGGAGGGGTATGGACCATCACCCTTGGGAGGATGGGTACTCCTGCCAAAAATCAAATTGATATAATAGGTCTGGCACACAGTGGAATACCGATGAATATCCTGTAAAGGGATTATTAAGTGAACTTTAAAATGTAAACAATAATGTTAATAATTTTTCTAATCAACCCGGGCTGCAAAAAAGCTGCACCCTGTTTCATTCAATAATTCATATTGCCATTAGGTTTCATGCTTTTGAAGTTAATCTGTAAATATATCATATCAATTTCACTATTTTTTTTCAGAGGTAGTTCTGTTTTCCTCACAACAAAATTATTTATTAAAAGAATTATTTTTTCTTTTGTTAATATAAAATATAAGAACGATAAAAATAATTATGCATAATATAATAAAAATATAATTATAAAAGAAAACGTTCGTATGGAAGTTTTGCATGATTTTTTACAGCGCATTGATGGTTATTGCTTCTTTGGAGGCTTGAACAATTCTGGTTGGATCAGCCTCAGATTCTTTTGTTTTTAGGTACCCTATTAAAAAATGTCACCAGAAATTACATGAGAGTGATGTGACCATGAAGAACCACTCAGAAATACCCGAATAGCCAAATACAGCCATTAAGGATGAAATACCAGATAGAAGCAATGATCCCCCTTAATATACCCTGAAACATCATAGAAAACTGAACCTAGTGTCTAAATTTTTTTTTTCTATTGTTCACTAAATGGCTATTCTTGTACTTGATATATATTTTTATACATGGAGACATTCTTTAATAAATAATTGTTATTAATGAATACATAAATAATTTGGTGATTGTTATTTCCAATTACTGTTTTTTTTTTTTCCAAAGTATAACAGGCTATAGCTATTATCTCCTTTTACTGGAGGTTTTATACCGCTATGGACAATATCTAGTCACTGTTAAAAAATTGAAAATGAATAAAGAAGAAAAAAACAGATATATTGTCATCTAAAAAATTTATTTTAAATATTGAAAGCAGTGGAAATGTTAGAAGGCAAATAAAATTTGGATGGGCTGATTAAATAAATGAAGCAATAAACCATTTTGCTCTTTAAATATTTCACTGTCAAACATACTTCAGTTTCTTTCATATGAAGAAAAAAGCTATAATTGTTCCATACTTTATATAACTTTATTCAATTTACTTCCTCTTCCTACTAATCATTATAAAAACATAATAATATAAATGATTTTTTCTTAATTATCTTTAACAAGAATTTTATATATATATATATATATATATATATAAATATATATATATATATATAAAATTCTCTCTCTCTCTCTCTCTCTCTCTATATATATATATATATAGATATGTATATATATATATATATATATATATATATATATATATATATATATATATATATATATATATATATATATATATTCAATAATGGTTAATTTCACAGCGGAGGAGAGCAAAGGCGAGTATCATTATGTATCACTTTATTACACAATCCAAAACTGCTTATTCTTGATGAACCAACTGTAGGGGTGGATGTAGTATTAGCGAATAAGTAAGTTATTATTATTTTTTTTTTTCAAGTCCTTCATCAAATAGCCCTATTATTTTTAATAGCTATTATTGTATTATATTATTGATTGAGAATGGCTCCAGATTTACTCTGGATAATAGTAAGGGCAGTTTTAAAGATAGTAATCTACTATTTCATCATACAGTGCTGTTATTACATTCTAAAACTTTTATTCCAGTATTTGGCAAAACCTCCTCTATATGTCACGAAATGAAGGTAAAACAATAATTTTAACAACACATTATATTGAAGAAGCTCGAAGATCCAACACTGTAGGTAAAAACAAATTAAGTACTTTAAACATATTTATGGCTGATTTTTCATTATAGGTTATTTTTTTTTTTATAGATTGGGCTCATGAGAAATGGAATCCTTTTAACCCAAGATAGTCCTGGTACTCTGATGGAATTTCATAACTGTGATAATTTGGAACACGTTTTCCTTAAATTATGTGAACAGAATTTAGAAGGGTTTGATAATTATGATGTAAGTCAGTTTAGTATTGACATGAAGTAATTTTTCAATAAACAATAAGACTTATCACCTAAGTTTTGAAGACATTTTTGTTAAAACTTTGGGTTTTAATAGCAGTTATTTCAGATTTGTTAAAAATAAAAAGTTTAGAGAAAAAAATCATTCAGAATAAGCTAGTCAAAATGTGATTCACGCTGAAACTTGATTAGATTAAAAGCTTTTACAAATTCTGTGGTTTTGTTTATTTTGGTACAGGTCAATTGAACCAATTATGTTTGCTCTTTTTTTTTGTAACTGCTCAGAGTGATATAATTTTTTAATAAATTATAAGAATTAAATTTTAAAAAATTTATCTAGCTCTCTGACACATTTTTTGCTGTCAAGTCAAAATCTTTATTAGAATTAGATTCAATCTGGAAAATATGAAAACCCATATGAAATCTAGGCAATCTTATAGATCGGGCCAATGGGAATCCATTTATTGGAAATAAAAAAATAAAGAATATATAACATTTCTGAAAATAATGTTATTTAATTATACATTCCTCTTCTTGATACATTTCTTTTCAACTTTGTTTAGATCTTCATTTATTCAAGTTGTCAAGTAGAAACCATAGTTACTATTCAGTTGCTGTTATTAGAAAAACTACAAACTGGCTAAAGATTTAAAATTTGTTTGATACTGGTGGAAATTCAATTGTATATCTAGGTATAATAGATATTCTAGTGAACTTCTGTGTAAGAGAGGTGCTGTATACAATTTTGACCCTGACATCTATATCTCTTGCAATGGCTCTGAATGAAATTTTTTCAATACTGTTCATGATTTTGATAAGTTGTTCTTGGTTACAGAGAATTATTATTTTTTCTTTAAAGTTTCATCTTTCATCACTTACACCTTTCATTTTAAAATGCTAGTTTTTTATTTATTTATTTTTCTGAAACCTATTTTTTAATAAAATGCATGAAAACATTTTTTCAAATTATATTAAATTTTAAACATTTATTTAAGGAAAATGCAGAGGTGAAAGGTCATGAAAGAAAACCTGGTAAACATCTTAAAAAGACAAAGATTTTGAATGTTCATTGTGTGTCAGCTCATATATTGAAAAATTTATATTGGATGAGAAGAAATATACCGTATGACAATATTGTTTTCTTTAATTACAAACATTTTTAATTGGGAAGTAACTAAGTTCTAGTTGATACTGCTTCAGGCATATGTTGTTTACGTTCGCTCTTCCTGTAATACAATGTGTATTGGTCAGTATGACTGTAGGAGAAACTCCATCGAAACTTTCACTTGCAACAGTGACTTCTGAACTACCAAAAGGAATATATGAATGTTCTGAATCCATTTGGACTAAACCTTTATCTTGTGATTTGAATGACGTACCATTCTCATGTTACATAATTAAAAAAATTATGGATGCAAGTATTTCCATTGTAAGTTATATTTACTAATTGGATTACTTTGTTTTTGTAATATATTTAAATATTTTAATTGTATTTTATTTTTAGACACAATATGCTTCTCTTGAAGAAGCAAAAAGATCTGTTAAAAAAAACTATCAATGGGGGGTACTGTATTTTAATAAAGATTACACAGCCTCACTTAAAGAAAGATTTAGTCTAGATTTAAAAAATGATACAATAATGGAAAACAGTGAAATTAAAATTTGGATGGATAACTCAGGTAAAAATGTTATATCAGGTTTATTTTGTATTTTTAAACTGTTAATAGTTGTATGTAAATAGGTTAACAAAACAAAAGAAAGATAATTAAAGTCATTAAGTGATAAATTGGTGATGAACGTTTAAGGATTTTGCTATATTATTTTTTGAATACTTTGAAAATATTTAGACTGATGTTTAGATTTACCATTTTTTAGCTCTGAGATTTAGTGAATACCTATGGGATTTTTTGTTAGGTCATATTAATATCACATTACTAGAATAATTTTCAGAAATAAGGTTGTTCTGATAGAGTGACATGGAAATATGCATCAGGAATCTATTCAAAAAATGATCAAACCTTTTATAAGTTCATTAATTATTATCTTCAATAGTTAGAAGAAAAGGAGACTCTTCTTAGTAAAATTCAGACTTACCCTCAAACAAAAATTGTGGAAAAGCAAAAATTAGTTTAATTCTTAATCCATTATATATTTAGAATATTAAATAATTTAGGTTGTGGCCTTTTTCTTCATAAATTTAGTCAATGCCATGGAATAACCTTCCACGAGGGCACTTAATGCTTCTGGTAATGGTGTTCGATTATCTAGTAATGCAGCCTTAAACTATAACATAAACCAATGGCATAATAGCCAAAACCACTAGCAGATTCAGGATTTAAGTTTGGTGGGCTCACCCTCAAAGCTTTTTATGTATGTATAACGATAATTACTTTGGAAGAAAAAGAAAGAAACTAACTATCTATATGATATAGTGTTCAAGTGATTCTTGAAGTCCTATTAAATATAATTACATGAACAATATTACTTTCAAAGATAATGTTTTGATATTTTTTTTTTCTTAAAACATGGTTAAATTTTAGTATTTTTGGAGGGAGAGGGAGACTTCAGCCGGAAAGCCTCTCACATCGATCCGCCTGTGGCCGAAACGTTGCCATGTAAATAGAAAGAATTGCATAAATATATAGTGAAAAAAGACAGTTATGGGCGGGGTGGCCGAATGGGCTAATATTTTAATAATATTTACAGGTGTGTGCACAACACCATGAGTTGCCTGGCAACCAGAGATAACAAAGTTTTGAGATTGGAAAAAAAAGTACGAGTTCGTGTTCCAATGCCAGAGGAGATTTTAAATTCCCCACCCTCACCCTCCGGCACAGTAAAATCCCTTATAGCCTAAAAGGCGAGGTAGGGAAGAACAGAAAAAAAAAGTTAAAAAGACAGCCAAAATTATTTCAATTACTTAAAAAAAAAGTTTCAACCTTAATCTTAAAACACAGAAAATTAAAGGCAATATTTAATTGCCAGAACATAAAAATAAATGGTGGGACCTTTTTTTGAATTTTATTATAAAATATGACTAATGTAACTAATATGTAATCAAGGTAAATAAATATATTTTGTGTTTAAAAAAAAAAGTTTTATTTTGTTAATTTTGTTTCTTTTTTGTATATACGGTGTGAATGTGTTCATTTATCAATATAATTATTGTCCCTGTGACAGAATATTATATGTCTAAATAAATAAATAAAAAAAAAAAAAAAGTATATTTATTTTTTTCAGATACAGTAATTAGTGGTATTTTAAAAACAACAATAATCAAGAGTTTATTTGACTTTATTGGTGAGCTAAGCGATAAGTGTTCATGGCAAACAAAAGGGGCTGCTCTTCCTATAGGTGTAAGTATTTTAACTTTAAATAAGCACATAAATTAATCTAATGCTCAAAGAATTGTTAGAAAATGTTACCTTTCTCGCAATATTACTATTTTGTTTATAAAATATAATAACAAAAAGAAAATTTTTTCTCCTAGTGATAACTTTTTCAAATTAGTATGAAAATGTTTTTATTTCTTCTTTTTGTTGGGAAGCTGTATGACATTCTCTGTTTTTTGGCAGATAACTTCCAAATATACAACAATTGATTTATTTGTTGAATTTACTTGTTAGCGTTTCGGGAAATTTACTCCCATCTTCAGATCTTACAATCCCATATTTTCTTATCGATTCATGCCTAAAAAGGAGTTAATTAAAAAATAATGCATGTTACAATACATGTTAGAAAACAATAGAACAACAGTAAATTACAAAACAGACACCAGACATTTGGGGACACATTATGCTGATATATTAAATAAAATTAAAATACAGTAAAAATGAAATACAGCTATATAACAAATAATCATTTAACAACAATAGTAAAAAAACAAATAATCATATCCAAAGGTCAATAGTATCCCCCATAGCAGTCACCCAGTTATTGGTCTATAGGAAAGTTGATGCTATTATAAACTGTAATTTATCTATAACATAAATTTAAACCATGACAAAGGAGCACATCAGACTTAAGGTAATTACAAAATTAATGTAACAACGCAACTCTAACATGTATTGTAACATGCATTATTTTTTTATTAACCCTTTATTAGCCATGAATCAATAAGAAAACATGGGATTGTAAGTTCTGAAGATGGGTGTAAATTTACAGAATCGTTAACATGTAAATTCAACAAATAAATCAACTGTATATTAGGAAGTTATCATTGACAAAAAACAAAGAGTATGAAAATCATAAAAGTTCTACTTGTCATTCTGTTATTAAAAGTGAGAGTATTTAGTGGATAATTTGACCACTTAAAATGAAGACTATGCCGAGAAAAACCAACTAACTTGAATTTAGTTGTAACTGAGTTGGTAATGATGATTACCAATGATGATGTTTGAACTGAATCCAATATCTAATTATGGAAATTTTGTTATTCAATTATTAAATAAGTCTCTGATACTTACAGCAAAGAAATAAAATTAAAAAGCATTGATAGAGGTATTTTGTTGGAAAGTAAGATAATATTCATGACCTGAGATGTCTATATTTACATTCTAAATTTATGAATTACTTAGGGAGAAACTTTGGGCCAGAAATTGCCTATTTTTCAAGATCGGATACATAAAAGAATTTAAAAGAGTAAGACTGGGCTGTAAATTCAAACTTTGATATAGGAATGAGAACAAAATTGTGGGATTGGAATAACATTAGTCCTAGATGACAAATGTATAGCATTAGAGGATTGTCTTTTTCTAACTTATTAGTCTTAAAAACTAGTACAAATACCATAAAAACAAAGTTAACTTAATTTAAAAGTTAAGTTAATTAACTTAGATGTTTTATCTTCACTTGAAATGTTGAAAGTAAAACAGAGCCATCTCTGACAGATCAAAATAATAACAATTGGGTGATTTATGATCAATCGAAATATTAATGTTTAGCATTTTCAAGAGTTCAAGATACCTATTTCTGTGAGAATCATCCATAACATGGCTTTAATAAATTTTAATCATTACAAATATATAATTATAAATGTATCTTATTTCTTTTCAAGTATGAGGAACCAGTTTATGGGAGCTATGAAACTACATACAGACAATCAATGACTCCTGCAAATGCAATATTGTAAGTTTAACATTTTCATTAGTCTAAATTTTAAATAGAAAACAAACAAAAACATTAAAACTAGGGTAAGTTCAACTTTATTTCATTCCAACTATAAACTCAGATTCTAATATTTATGGTCATGTTATAGGTTTATGTTTTACTTCCCTATCTTATTCACTGCAGGTGCACTGATAACTGAAAAATCATCTGGTCTTTTGAGCAGAGGACTTGTTGCAGGTTAGTTACAAATAAAATAAAGAAAATTAAAAAAAAAATTGTTAGTAGCTTAGTTATTAATTTTGCATTTTTTTTTAGGTCTGAGCTGGCTTGATATAGCCATTGGCCATATGGTGTTACAGTATATAATACTTATCGTACAGCTAATATTTGTATGGATAATCTTTTACTATTTATTTAGCAACATTATGATTGGTGATATATATTTATGTTTATTACTTTTGTTTCTTGTCGGGACCTGTGGCATGTTTCATGGTAGGAAATAATTACTAAATTTCAATTTATAATATTATAACGCTGTATTATTTAAAATTTAAAAAGTAATTATTGTTCAAGGTTTTACTATTGTGGCAATGTGTGATGATTTCACTTCAGCTTCCTGCTTGGCATTCGGAAGATATTTTCCAATATTTTTGATGAGCGGTAAGTTTTCATTCTTTCATATTTTTATATTGAGATTTGATATATGTCTTATTCTTATTCACTAATTTGAAGGCAAAACTTGGAAAGTCTATATCTCAAAATGGTGCATTATAGTTATAAAAAAAAAGTATATATAAAAGTATATGGGCACTTAAGAATATCAAGATAATTTATCAAAGATTTAGACTCAACAAATATATATAAAGTATAATGAGTAAAATTTTAGAAAATTGTAATATTTTTAAAAATTATAGATCTGATAGAACCTCCTTTATAGTGAGGTCTATATAAATAGAAATGCTAGATTTTGGAAATCTTCAGTTAATCCGAAAATTTCAAAATATTAATGCAATATTTCTTAAATATTAACATATATTCTTAAGTAGTCCCCAATAAATGTTACTTTATATCTAAAACTTATTATATTGGGGTTGATAATTTTATTTTATTTATATCTAAACAATTATAATGATAAAAAAATGTAATCTTTACACTTTATATATACATACTTATGTTGCATTATACACATATGCAAACACTCATCATTATTGTAGCATTATTAAGTCGGTCTTTACCTTTTCAACTTTTCAAGTATTTCCTCAATTCAGTAATTCAATATATAATCATTATTTTAATTGAGTCACACGCTTCTTATTATTGTTATTCATAGGTTATCATTGTGCTCAATTATGTGAAAATAGCATGAGAATATGATTATTGTTTATAAGAAAAATAAATATGGTGTTTATGTCAATATTTGGTGCATAATTATCATATAAGTAAACATTATGAATAACCAGTTTCAAGCTATCATTTATGTTTATTTAATAGAAAATTTGTAGAGAATTCATTTTTTCCATTTTCCTTTGGATAGATTCAGCATTCCATGTTCAGTTTAATCAATGTGATCATGGCACATCTTATTCCAGAAAGATTTATAATAGATGCTTTAGATATCTATTTGTGTACAGTGGGTAAAATAAAGTATTGGCACACTCCAATTTTTATGTAAATCTCAATAGGACTGAGATATTTTCCAGAAATAATGTTTATATAACAAAATAGTCTTTGAGTAATGTATTAGAAGCAATGCATGTTCAGAATTCAAAAGCTATGTTTAAAGTAAAAATAAAGAGTAAAGTTTGAGGGTCAAAAAAGTATTGCCACATTTTTAAATGTTTACTATCAGCACCAGTCAAAACAAATCAATCCTTTTTCTTTCAAGAGATTAGTAATGATGATTGATGACAATACAATGACAACAACAAAAATCAGTCTTTGCTGTATATTTGCCATAACAACATGGGTAAACCAGTCAATATTGTGTCAGTGTAAAAAGAAAAAAATTAAATTACATTCAAATGGGATTAGCTACCAACAAATAATTTAAAACTGAATAAATTAGAAATGGGTTTTAGTAGTATTCAGAATATTGCACAAAAGTTTAGAAAGTTTTAAATAACTGCCACCTCAGAACTACCACCAAAATGGGAGGGCACAAAGGTATATCCTTAAAAATGTTGAGCAAAATCGCACTTTATCAGCCCCCCAGATAGCAGATAAGGTCACACCTACTTCAAATACCAAATTCTGTTAGAAATATAATTCATATATACAATTAATATGGCCGATTCCAAAGGAGAAGGCCTTCTATTACAGAGGTGAACTGGAAAACAACATTTGAGTTTACCAAAAGTTAATTTAATAAAGACCAAGATTTCTAGGAAAATTGTATCTTTTCTGATGAAAGTAAGTTTAACATATTCCATTCTAATGGGTACAAGTTCGTTTAGGGGAAACTTGACACTGAGTTTCAAACTCCACATGTGAGGCCTCCTGTATAACATTGAGGTGGAAGTGTCCAGGTTAAGGAGGGCATGTCTGAAATGGCGTTGCAATCTTAACCTTTATAGACAATATTATGAATGCCTACATTTTGCGACATAATTTAAAAAGTATAGCTAAAAATTTGAGGATCAAAGATGCATTTATCTTACAACAGGACAATGAAACCCAGCACACACCAAATGAAACAAAAGAATGGATGTCTCCGGACATAAATGCCATAAAACACCTATGGTACTTGTTGGATTTTAAAGTAAGAAAAGTAAAATTTGTTTAAAAATTATTTAAAAGAATCTTCTTCAGAGTAATAGTATAAAATTGGATAGGACTTAACTCAAAATTTTGTTTTGTCTATACCAAGAAGATTCCGGAATGTCATCGATGCCAATGGTATGATGACAAAATATTAATAAATTTCCGGTTCTTGAAATAACCCTTAAATTAAAGTGTGCCAATACTTTTGGTTTATTATTTTCAATAATGAAACATTGCGATCTACCAAAAAATTCAAAAACATAACCCCCTCTCAAAATTTGAGATTTCACGTTTCAAGACGCGTAGAATTCGAAAAACGAATAAAAATGTTTTTGTCCGTCCGCCGTCCGCGCATTTTCTCTGAAACTACTGGACCGATTTTTTTTTTTTCAAATTTTGATATAAAATCAGAGGTCACCTGAGGATGATCCTCCTTTATCGACATTACTCTCCGCTTTCAACTTTCAAAATGGCGCCCGAAAAACCTGCGTTGCTATAGACTGTAGCTCCTAAACGAATGTACAGATTTCAATGAAACTTCGCTAAAGTCATTTTCTCGACGCCCTTTAAATTTATCTATATAACATACTTCAACGAAAAGAAGCTGGACAAAAAGTTACGAGGGATGGTAAAATTAAATCCCGAATAACTCTAAAAGTTTTTACTTTTTTGTTGATATAGTATAGTTTTTTAAAAGTTTACGAAATTTTCTAAAAAAACAAAAAAAAAAAATCGTTAAATTCGGACAATTAGGAGCAAAGGTCTCCTTTTTTTTTTTTTTGTGTTCTACTCCAAATATATATCCTTGGTTTGGTTTTTAAATTTTAAATGTGTTACTGAACTAATGCTATTTTTTTTAGCATATTGCTAATGATTAAAGAAAAACAGTTTAGTCCAATAATTGGAATCACCTTTTGTTTTGTTTCCTTTGTAACTCGGAAGGTAATGTTACTTTAGATGTATAATTGTTTGGAGATAATAAACCATTGTGAAATAATTTGAAGCGTTTTTGACTGAGATGAAGTGATTTTTCGTTTGCTTTTTTTTTAATTAAGTAAATTTGATTTTTTTTTTACTCCAATTATGTATTTTTCTAAATCTTTTATTGAATAAAAATGTTTGGCAAATCAATTTCGGGTTCTTTTACAACGAAACCTGAAAAAGTTAAGTGTGCCAATATTGTTTTGATTCACTGTATATATCTACATTTTTTTACATTTGGTTATTTTAATAGACAAGTTGTATACAGTAACTGCAGGCAATTTTACTTATCCTAGTTGCTTTTGTTGGAAATGTAACCTTACACAGTCTCTTATTAGCCCACATCTATATTTTCCTTTATGTAGGTCAGTTACTCAGTACCATCTTAGTACGGCTAAAGAAGCCTCACTTCAATAGTTTGGAACCCACATTGAATAAATAAAATTTAAATTTCAGGTGCTGACGACAAAATTATTTAGATAAAAACAACAGCAAATATATATTTTAAAATATATTTTATATTTCAAAGTTTCTACCATTCTTAAATGCTGTTTGAAAACTTATAAGTCCAATTCAGAAAAAATATTAAAATTAAATAAAAATATAATTTAAGGAAGAATTAAATATATTATATTTCATTAGTTGAAGAGAAGGATGGTTAGGGTGTTCAGTCAAATAGTAAAAAATAAGTAATTTTATTTATTTTTACATTCACCGACGTTTCGGCCCAAAGTTCAGGCCTTCATCAGAACTGGGAAAAGATTTGATTAGGTTTTGTTATATTTCAATATTTCATTAGGTTTTTACAAATATCACTCCGATTCTGAGTATATACATGTAATAAATTTAGTTTATATATTATAATTTTATTTGTAAGCCTTACGTTATTATTGAGGAGTGAGACATGCTAGTTAGTAATATTCTGCCTGACTTCCTAAGCTGAACAAACCTGTTTCAAAATCTGGTTTTGCACACTAAAATTTTCTCTAAAGAGAATATATTACTCTTAGTGAGAAAGGGATCCTCGATTTACTGATACTTTCTGGCCCTCCTGAATCCTTCAAAAAATGAGTAATTAATAAGTGGATGGTTCCCACACCTGGTTTTGGTTATATGTATGGTTATAAAGTATGGTGGCTCCCGCACTATACTAACCACAATATTTTTCCAAAATATCTTTTGGTTGAGAGGTAGGTTTTTCCACTAGTGTCTGTCTCCTGTTAATGAATCAATTGCTTTTATTTTATTTTAACTATTCAATATTAAATTGCATGATGAATACTTTAATACACTAAATTTATATTTGTAGGTGCGGTCTGGCCAGTTGAAGGAATGCACTATGTGTTAAAAATCATATCAATATATTCACCTTTGACGAAGGCAGTCGAAGCATTTCGCGCTGTGTCTGTTAGGGGCTGGACCCAGTATCACCCAACAGTGTATTCAGGGATGATAACTGTGGTTGTATGGACTGTAATATATGGATTCATAACAATTTTGTTTATCAAATTCAAGGGCATAAAATTGTAAAACAGATACATAATGCTTTCTTAGTATTAATTGACAAGTAAATTTATTTATTTACCAATAGAATGTATATATTTTTAGTCAGTCATTATAAAATAAATATTAAAAATTGTCAAACACTCAGTATGTTATTAAATATATTTTATAAATAATGAATAAATATAAAGGTAAACTTTTATCTCCCATAAAAAAAAAAATATACATATATATTTATCCATGGTAATAATTATAAGTTAATTAGTCAATAATGGTTGGCAAAGGATTTACCATATTTACATAGTGACTTTCAAAAAGGTAGATAGTTAAGATAGTAGAGGAATTTGAAGAGGATAGGAAAGAACATAACTACCAAAATCCTATCACCAATGTACGGTCAGAAAAGAAGGAGGCAGAGCTAGGAGGAAGGAAGATGTGGAAGCGACCCCAAAATGATTAGTGTTAGAAGAAAGAGGAAATGTGCCAAGGACAGGATAAAGATCGTGGAGGCCAAGTTATTGATTGATGGTTATTGACCGGTAAAAAGGCGTATTTTATGAAAACGTTATTCCATTGTTTCTTAAAACTATTTGCTTTCTTGATACTGAAGCTAAAGATGTTTATTCTTGTAGGAAATCTTAAAAAATGTTTCCTTAGGATCGAAAATTGTCTTACGTTTCATACTTTATCCTTAAGTACACATTTGATGTTTATAGTTGAATTCTTGCGACCTGCTTATCCCATTGTTTATCCGATTTCGATTAAATGTTCAGAGATTGGGCGGGTTGGTTTCTAAATGGTTCCATATAAATTTTATCACTTACCTACGCACTTTCGCTTCAGCATGCTGGAACTTTTTTTCCATATCGCATTTAAATTTCGAAAAGGGATTCTCCGATTTAGCAAAAACCTGTAGGAAAGTCAGAAGTTCGTAAAACAACGATTCTGTATCAGCTTCATCAAATTCCATTTAGATGTATTTTTAATTTACCAAAAAATTTCAAAATTAATTTTTAAACAATTATAGTATTACATATTCGGTACTAAATCAGTTTTACTATCCCAAGGTGGCGCAACTTTTTAAGATCTCTCAAAGCATGCTGTTCATAGGTTTCCGAAAATATCCGAATGTACCTGAAAGAAGACAGTCCCAACCGAACCCCAACTGTTGATTGAAATTATTCACCATTTTAAAAGGAAAATTTTTTACTTAATTATAATAGTCGATAATATTTACTAAAATGTTGAAATAGACATAATATGAATTGTCAACTACGAATAACAATAATACTGCAATAAGTAAAAAGCTCGAAAAGATACATTATGAATGAAACAATCCAAATTATTAAGTCACGAGTCTCTAACATGGAAGCGAAGAGTTAACTGACCAACGTTCCGGCAACTCAGGCATCAAGAGGGTAGAAAAAACATCATACATATTTAGACCTGGAGCCAGGGCCGCGAAGACCGTAGTATTTTAAGAAACTTTTCAACCTAACAGGCTGGTAGTACTTCTTTTAGGTATTACGAAAATGTCCGTCTAACAGCTCCGACAGGCTAAGGTTTTTAAGGTTATAAGGGCATTTGAACCCATCAAAAAGTTCAAAATTTTGGGGCATTTCAAGCAAATTTTCTCTAACACCTCACAAAACTAGATTGACTGGAGATCACAGAAAATATAGTCTGCCAATGCAAAGTGGTCGATTACGACGATCAGACGCTACTCAAAAACACGATTTGGGGGAGGGGGGGAAACTAATTGAAAATATGTGGACTCCTGGTCACCTTCTTAATATTTCCAAACTTTAACTATTGCTGCACGGTATATGGAGGCGTCTTTGGGGATCTCGAGGCGAAACTAAAACGATTGATAAATTGCTTTGTACGATCCATCTTCGGGATATGTTTCCTAATTTTATGAGAAGTTGAAGTGGCTATATCCTTCCTACCGTCGTAAATATTTCCAGGCATCCTTCCTCTTCCAAATAATTCTGCCGCCTCTCATTCACTTTCGAGCTCCTACAATACAAATCCTCAGTTCATTCTCGCAATACCCGTTATCGGTCTTCAGATTTATAGACAATGGCCCATCGAATCGCTGCTTTCTATAGATGTTTCATTATTCGATCCTCGACTCTATGGAGTTCCATCCCTCGTTCGTCGCTCCAATACTCTTTCTATTTTTAACTCCCGCCTATTCAATCACTTCCTTTCCACACAGTCTCCAGAAGATTGTAAATAAATATTCCTGTATTGTTTTCTATTACTTCATTTTATGTTACTTTCATTTATTTTTTATTAATTGATTAAATTTAGAATGTATCTTTACGTTTTCTTTTTACTATTATATTTATCTGTTTGAATTGTGAATACACTTCTATATCTCTGAGGCTCAAAATCTCACATTTCTGTTCTTACAGGTAAATAAGCTGACTTATATTTTAACAGAATAGATTATCATTATATTTTATTATTTTATTATTAGAGCCTAACCTAAACTACTCTAAACAATATGTATAATCAAGGAGGCTATACTCGGCTAGCTTCGGCAATTCTTGGGAATCTGTGATTTGAATGATCTTGAAACCCGCCACCAACCTGGAGTATTATCTTTTTCTTTCTTACTCATTTAGTATTTCTACTTTTTTTCGTTTTGTTTTTTCTGTACGCAATATAATGATAAGGAAGTTATACTGACCTACTTGGTAAAGGTATTTCTGTTGCTTGCATGACAATCTAGTCCATAGTATCCACATTCCCATTCTATTCTAGTATCCCATAACCTCTTGACATATAACTAATTACTGATTGTTTGCGTTATCCCTCAGGCTTATCAGATAATTACAATGCTATGTTTGGAGATAATCTCGCCCTTGTTTAGAAAACAAAAGTCGTCTAGCTCAATGGAGGTGAAAATACTCTCTGGACCAAAAAATGATGCATTTACAAAACGCAAAAGTTCGGGTAGTTCCGAGTTTTGATAGGTTATTTGAGCTGGGATCGGCATAAAAATTAATATTTCCGACCTTGGCAGTCCGCCGAAAGTTCATTTTATTAAAACAAATTTTCACTAAATTTTCATACAGATCGCTATTGGCACATAGCCAGAGGAATTTTGAGGTACTTCAACCTCATTTCTTGTAATAAATTTTATTGAAATTTACTTTAGAAAATCAATATTTGCATATGAAATATAAATGAATCACCTAATTTAAAAATGGTTAAACTTTTATGAATAGTAATCGAATCAATTTATTATAAAAATCTAATTGTGGAACTAAAGTAAAATCGAAGCTATATACCAGCTTCTGTTCTTCGTCGGCTCACAAGCGGCTGTATCAGCCATCTGCAGTGAAAATGGCCTCGATGATCATGATGCGTCAGATACTAGGCATCGCATTGATGATCTAATTAACAAAGAATTCTGAGTGACATTCCTAAATTTTAATTTAAAATAAAGTGGCCGCAAAGAAATTTTCAGTGAAATAAAAAAACGTATTCCATATGTGCTTTTGGAATTATCAAGTCAAACTTATTGGCATTAAAATCTGCTTTTTTGTCCATTTTAAACAAATGTTTTTATTTAATTATTTATTGAATAATATAATATTCTGTCACTTGGTCATTGGTTATAGGGAGGTACGATCACATTCACACAATAAGTATAAACAAATATGAAATAACCAGAAGCAAAATAACTAAATAATAATCAAAAAGTAAATACAATAAATAAAATAAAATAACTTAAAGATAAGTAAATTAAAATAAACAAAAAACACATACATCCCTGTATACACTGTTTACAATTAGATGAGGAACATTCAAGTCAGGCTTATCCCTCCAATTATGGAGTCCAGTTTAACTCCAGGGCACTAGCGGATCGAGGATTTATTTTTTGGGGGGCTTCAGCTCGAAATATTTTTTTTTCACCAAATTTCTTTTATTTCTTTATTGAGTATTACAACAATCTATCTCTTGGACATTGGTTATAGTGAGGTATGTATAACGATGCAAATATATAAAGATAATTAATTTGAAAAAAAGAAAGAAATGAACTACCTATATAAAATGGTGTTTAAGTGATCCTTGAAGTCCTATTAAATGTAATTACACGAACGATAACACTTTAAGACATAGTTTTTAATATTTTTTCCTATAAAATATTTTACAGTTATGGGGGGGGGCTTCATCCCGAAAGCCCTCCTCCCCTGTAGAACCTCTGTGCTCCAAGGTATCCCTGAGCTACTCTCTTAACCACTTCACCAGTACTAAAGCCAGTTTTTGGGGGCGGGGTGGCCGAATAGGCTAAAGCATGTGTAACAGCACCGCTAGTTGCCTGGCAACCGGATAACAGAGATTTGAGATGATATAAAAAGTACGAGTTCGCGTCCCGGTGCCGGAGGGGATTTTAAATTTCCCCGCCCTCACCCCCCGGCCCGGGAAAATCCCGTATAGCCTAAAAGGCGAGGTAGGGAAGAACAAAAAAAAAAAAAAAAAAAAAAAAAAAAAAAAAAAAAAAAAAAAAAAAAAAAAATCGAGAGCGCTAAAAAAAATATTAAAGAATAACTTTGACTTTTCAGCTAATATATTCCCGGAAATTGGATACCCTCGTGATCTTTATCTTGTACATATTTTTTGAACTCTACTATTATTCTAAGGGGATTCAGTCCCAGAATAAAATTATTTTTCATTTCATTTCATAGATATTCTTCTACTTCTGGATGATAGCCTTGTTTTAATTTTTTCCGCTTAGAGACACTACAATACGGTTTCGACACATACACACGAAGCAAATCCACTTATTACTAAAAAACAGAGCTATTTCCATTCCATCTCTCGCGAATCAACTTTAACTTTGTTTTCTTTCTTATTACGATTACCAGGCGTTTCGGATTATCGAGACCGTTCTGTAATTCTGTTGAAAAATCGGATTTGAATTTCTTCACGATCGCAATAGTTTCACTCAATATATATTTCATAAATAGGTAAGTGAAAGTAAAAAGTACAAATTGAGTATTGACAGATTA